GTCTTCACCTGCACGCTGCACGTACGGCCGCGGCGTCTCTCTCTCTCGCGCGCGCGCCGTCTCGTGTAAACCTGATAAACCCACGAGACCGAGCTCCAACCGCGCTCCGGCCTTGCGGCGTGCGTGTCTCGTCGTGGCGTGGCGATGCCGCCGGGGGCGGGGGGCAAGTACGCGGTGCAGACGGCCGCAAAAACCCGGGGGGGGGGGGGGGGGAACGCATGCTGCGTGAGCGACCGCGCGGCGCGGCGCGTCACGTCGCTCTCGCCGTCTCGCGGAAACGTGTCCAACCAAACGCACCCAGGGGAGGGGGAGGGGCACGCAATGATCGAAAGCGCAAAGCGGCAGCGAATCCCGCGTGGGATGAGCACCTGGAGCCGCAACTTTTTCGCCTTATTTCTTCCGGCCAATGGAGTAGTACTGTACTACTACTATTGTGCGGCAGGTGAAGCATCCATATGCTAATCTGTACTTCGATGCATCCGTGCGTGTGCGATCGATCGATGGTTCGGTTCATGTCGTTATCATGATAACCGGATTATTCCCCTCTTTTCTGCTTTAATAATGATTAACTTGAATTGGTGCTAAATGCTAATCCCGTGCTCTTCCGGTGTGTACGTATATGTATGTACGTAGCTAGTAATGATTTGGGCATATGCTTTAATAAGGTTTTCGTGGGAAAAGAAGAAAAAATGGTATCGCAAATTTCCCAACTTGTCTTTTGCACGGGAATAGTAATCGCGATGGCGATGGAGAATTGGGGATGCTGGTGTATAAACATTGCACATTTTTATACTGATAATGACCCTATGAGAGTGACAGCAGCTAGCCATTATACTATTATCTACTAGCACTATCCAACGATTTCGTTGGCAGTTAACGCGATGTAATCTTCTGCCACATCAGGTTATTTTATCCTGGTAAGCTGTCAGTGCACGTGAGGAGGATTATCTTAACTATGAGTTCGAGAAAAATCTTTTGATGGCTCTAAGGCAGGAGAGGAGAGCTAGACAATGCACTGGCGCCGCAGACGATGAATTGATAAACGAATTACAGTGGCACCAGCACAGTAGCACGTCATAAGTCATGTACTTTTAGCAGTAACAAAAGCTACATGTCCCCGTTAAGCAGCAGTAAATTGTTTGGAACTGGCTGAGTGATTAGTAAACGACACGGTGTCGTCGTTGCCCGGGTGCGTGCCAGATCAGCCACAAAAAAAATGGACAGGGTAAGTTGCCAACTTGGCCACTTTATTGTCCTCTCTTGCTGTTGTACTGGAAATGAAAAAATAATTATCAAATATTAATTAAGGGCAAATTAAGGATCAACAGATATTTGGCTCGGCTACTCGTCTGCCTCTGGGCAAAAAGCAGGAGCTTTTCTTTCTCCTTTCATTGTTCGAAATGGGAACGGAAGCTAACAGCATGCAACTGGATAATTCCATCAAACTGACGAGTGATGACTGATGACTAACGACTGAGCTGATCAGGTCAAGTGATGTCTTGCGAGGCAGCGAGGGATCTGAAGAATTCTGATATTCTGTTGACTCTGCATTGAGCACTACATTCAATAATTGCTAAAGTATTCTTTGTATAAACACAATGCTAGCCTGGATTTCTGAAGAATGAAGTCTGGATAAAAAGGAAAAAAATACGACCGAGTTGCTCCAATGAGTTAACACTACTTGAACCCTTGGCCAAAACTGATTTACATGTGATTGAACCCTCGGCCAAAACGAGAGCTAATTTATTGGAGCATGCATTTGCTTGGACTAATTCTTACTGTCTGAAACTCTGACTGTTTCACCATATTCATTTTCTGTCAGCACTATATCCAGTAGACACTGTGCTTGAGTAATTGAGTTCAAGTTCAACTACTTTAATAGGAGGTGGAGACAGCGAATGACTAGTAGTAAGAAATACCTAAACATTGGATTTACCCGTTCCAATTTAGGAGGATACTCCAATTTTGAGCTGCCACTTGCTACGGCAAAAGTCTTCTACCATGAATTAATCTACGGGATTGCTTTTCCCCGAAAAAGGTCTACGGGATGGCACTGTTTCTGCTGCTTTTCGGCTGCCAAGTGCCAACACGTCGTAATCAGTTACTGTAGTGTTACACTAACAACAGTTTCATAGGACTAAAACATCATCTTCATCCGTGGAAATAGTTTCACGAGAAAACGAATGTATGTTTGGATATGGATTATGAGAGGCAAGACTGAAAAATATAAATTAATAGGAGATTAAGACGAAACGGTACGTAGGAAGAATGGATGGTCAATTGGTTGACATCTACGATTAGAACTTAATTAGATTCTAAAAGGTGAAACTTTAAGGTTATTTACTTCGTTGCTACTTTTAACCATATCGAATTACCTTTTCTTGTCATTATTATCTTATCAAAGTTTGACAATTATAAAATTTCCAATTTTATAAGCTCTATCATAATCTTGGTAAATCTTTAAACCAAATACATCCAACACCATCAAAATTGAAAAGTCATGTAGCCTAGTGGTTGCAGTAACCTGAGTAGCTACATAGGAGTGAATTTTAGATTGGGTTATTTGAGCGCTAATTTCTAACTTAAAAAAGGTTGTATATATCCGGTTGGATTTAGAGGCCGGATAAAAATATCATTCTCTAAAAAAAATTAAAGAAAATCAAAATTTGGCAACATCAAAACATACTAAAATCTGACATTATCAAGCTTTAATAGGGTTAAAGGTGGCAACGAAGTAAATGCACACTAATTTTTCCATCCCATTTAGTCAAACATGTTTTGTGTTCAAATTACTCGTAACAAATACTTCTCGTTTTTGGGTAGAAATACCCTTCTCTAAAAAAATAAAAATCAAAATCAAAATTTGGCATCATCAAAACATACTAAAATCTGACATTATCAAGATTTAATAGGGTTAAAGGTGACAACAAAGTAAATGCACACTAAATTCTTCATCCCATTTAGTCAAACGTGTTTCGTGTTCAAATTGCTCGTAACAACTTCTCATTTTTCGTTAGTATACTACCCGAATTGTCACGCGACATGTTTTATGTAAAAATAATTTCTATACAAAGAGTGTTTTAAACGATTATAATATATATATATATATATATATATATATATATATATAATTTTATAATAGTTAATACTTAATTAATAATATACTAATGAGTATTCTCGTTTCTAATCTACCATCCCAAACTCACAGATCAACCAGCCCTTAGGGCCACGGTATCATCGGCGAAAATTAACATCGGTGCCCTGGTGGGCACTGATCAGGAAATTTAGCTTTCGTGCCTCCAGGTGCCCGTGTGTCATGAGACTCGTTGCCGCGGCGTGGCAGCGACATGGTCGCCGAATTCACGGGAGCACGGCGATTTTGGCTTCGGATGCACGTCGACGGTAGCGACGCGCGTAAACCGCGCAGGGGGTTTCGCGTGACTGTGGCTCCGTACGTCGCCACGACGGACGGATTTATTGTCCTTTCTTTTCCCTTTCGAACTCATCAAAAAAACAACAACAACCAAAAAAAAAAAAACGAGAGCACGAGTTAAACCGTTGACTCATGGACCAAAATACTAGAGGAACAGAGCAAGTGTGGGCCAAAGCATGACGTAACATCAGAAATTACTCCAAACCGTTCGTTTTCAGTTTTCACTAGTCGTTTCCGTATGCTCTGCTTACAGGTTGATGCCCTCGACCATTTCTTATCAAAATTTGACAGAGAAATAAAGTTTGAGCTATGGAGCCCATGACTAATAACCGAATCAAGAAACGTAAAATAGTTTAGGATGAGACTTTTATATATGTGTTATTATTGGTTTAAAAATAATATAGAAAATAGACCTGACGAAAAAACTAAAATAAAATCCAAAGTTAGGCCTCCAATTTAAAATTTTGTTGTCTTTAGCTAATATGTGGGACAACCTTTCTCTAGAAAAAAAAGGTGAATAACATACTAAAAATAATTAGAATTGGTTGAAAGAAAGGAAACACATAGGTAAAGGGTTATCATTTCACATCATGTCCTCTCCTTCTCCAACACTATGTTTTGAAAGGCACATCAAAGAGAATCTTAGAACACCATCAAAGCATCTCAAGCAATTTATGTGTGTGTTTTCTCTGATTTCAGCTTCAACTAAACTGTTCAATATGAATCATTGTAAGGCTCACACAAAACAATTATGTCATATGGTTCCATTTATTTTCCTATCATTAAAGCGTTTTGCGAGTTGGATGAATGTTTCTATCGTTGAATTGAATATATGGAACATTTTAGAGGAGTTTACCTATGTATAGTTAGTGTTGTCGTGGTGTAATTTCAACGTGAGAGAAACAATGATTTCAAAGATATTTAATACGACCAAACAAAAAATAGACATCCGAGTAATCATTGTAGTATTTCCTTTTTTTCTGTGTGTTGGGAACGTACTCATGGGTGTGTGAATATAGTGTTATATATGTCGGTGTAGCTACGCGTATGTCTACTGTATAATTGCAAGAAAAAAATTTTAGGATTTCAACGAAAATTTAGTGAGATCAGATATGTATCATTGGTTTTCATTTGTTTGGTGTGTCAGAGGCATACTCGCGAGGAGAGCTGCTAAACATACGGTATTATGTTTACTATTGTTTTATGATAAATGTTCTCTCTTAGTGTTTGTTGACGGTTGCAAGTTTCGGTCCCACGCTAAACTACATAAGCAGATGGTCCGGCGTTGGATCGTACTAAGATCGTAATAAAACATCGTATGTGCAGTATTTTCCACTTGTGAGTGTGAATGTAGTGTTATGTTGTAGTGGTGCGGACTGCGGAGGAAATAAAATTTGTTCCAAAACGATGATGACGACATCTCCATTTTTGCTTATCCCCTCGCTAGATTTGCCGAGATGTGAACAGGAGACAAACAACATATCACCGTGCCCACGGCCTAGCCTCAGGCCGTACCCTGCACTGCACACGCGCACGCACGCGCACACAGCGGCGTACTCCGTAGGCGTACCGCGGCAGCGAAAACCGAGACGAAACCCAAACCCCCCCATTCGAGCGAGCAGGTGTTTGTACAAAGGCCGCCGCGTCGAAAGCAACCACTCCTCCTACTCGACCTCGCGCTCGCTCGCTCGCCCTACAGGCCACCGCCGCACCAGGGGGGGCAGCGAGCGAGCCCGCGAGGTAGTCGGCGACGACCAGGAGGGGGACTGGGATGGGTTGCTGCGGGTCGTCGCTGCAGGCCGGGACCCACCCGGAGAAGCCGCCGGGGATGGCGGCGCCGCCGCAGCGCCCGTCCTTCTCCCTGAACCAGCACCAGGCGCCGGGGTCGGCGGCGGCGCAGGGCGTGGGGAGAGGGGAGGTCCCGGCGTTCGCGGAGTTCTCGCTGGCGGAGCTCCGTGCCGCCACGGGCGGGTTCGCCGCGGAGAACATCGTGTCCGAGAGCGGCGAGAAGGCCCCGAATTTCGTGTACAGGGGCCGCCTCCAGCGCACCCGCCGCGCGATCGCCGTCAAGAAGTTCCCCAAGATGGCGTGGCCCGATCCCAAGCAGTTCGAGGTACGCCCCGATTCGGGAAGAGCTTGTTGTGCCTGGAGAATTCGTCTTTGCTGTCATCAGTCCGATAGATTAAGGTTATTTGCTTTGGTTCGCAGGAGGAGGCCAAGGGGGTGGGGAAGCTGCGCCACCGCCGCTTGGCGAACCTCATCGGCTACTGCTGCGATGGGGACGAGCGGCTTCTCGTCGCCGAGTTCATGCCCAACGACACCCTAGCCAAGCACGTCTTCCATTGTGAGTTATTGGAATATCTTTCTTTTGATAAGTTCCTTTCTGAATTTCTGATCACCAGGAGACTTTTTTTTTCCATATCCGATAAACACTGGTCGCAAAAAGATTGGATTTTTCTGCCTTGTAGTTCCTGATTAGTGTGGAAGTTGGCAAAAGAGGACATATTGGTCTGCTTTGAGCAACTGCTGGCTCCTACCGGCTTCCTGCATTTGGTGTACCGAACGAATGATTGGGACTGCCCTTTGTCATATCTTGTTCTTATTCGGTTATTGTTGGCAATGATCTTGAGTCAGTCGAACTGATTATGGCACAAGCTTCCTTAACACACTCGATGGAATGTTGGTGTTGTTATGAGTCTGTCAGCAGCTATATGTGTACACAAATGGATGCCTTAAACTGATTCAGGGTCTCCAATGTGGAAATGTCTTGTTATTACAGTGACCAATGCAGTTGGTAACTTTTTTATGCATTTAAGGTTACGGGAGATTGTAGTTCACTTGAGAACTTAGGCTTCTTTATATGTTGTCTTCATGTTTGATGAACAACCTGACAATAGGGTACACTGGCAGTGGTGAAGGGTGAGCTGTCGACTGTATTGGTAATAGTTGTCGCAAGTACTGAATTCTGTAAAACCTCAACAATAATGCACTGTATTACTTCTTTTTGTGATCTTAATTGCATTCACCATTCATGCAAGTTTGAATTTGCGCAAACTAGATGTGTGTTATTAAATTTGCAGTTCATTTATCATGATTATTTTTTTTTACACATTTGCAGGGGAAAACCAGACTATCGAATGGGCTATGCGTTTAAGAGTTGCACACCACATTGCTGAAGCACTTGACTACTGCAGTAGCAATGAACGGCCTTTATATCATGACTTAAATGCATATAGGGTCCTTTTTGATGAGGTAAGCAACCAATTCTTTTGTGGTGTTTGTATGTTTTATTCTGTAGGATTGTCTCATGTGGTAGAGGAAGTGAGGATAGTATATTTATCTCTACAAATACCTCCCTGCAAGAAGTAGTGTGCAATCTACGGAATGGCACTGATTTAATTTAGTTTGTGCTCTTATCCTGGATGCTTCCTCTGTTTGTTGATTTGCATGCTTATATTGGAAGTGGAAATTGTTGGCATCTCTAGTACCTGGAAGAAAGCACATGGCAGAAATGAAAATGTCAACTCTTTACCAATTGTGCTGATTGGAGAAATGATTAGGAATCTCATCAAAGAATAAATCGCTTTCCCATGATGTTGTTCACATGAACCTCTCCTTCACATGGTTATCCAGATGTTATCCGTTTATCTAAATCGTTAATGTATTTATATTTGCAGAATGGTGATCCTCGTCTTTCATGCTTTGGCCTGATGAAAAACAGCAGGGATGGCAAAAGTTATAGCACAAACCTTGCATATACACCTCCAGAGTATTTGAGAAATGGTACATATGCCTTTTACCCTGAGACTAAAAACTATTCTTTTCCTCTGAGATATGAACTGCTATTTATTAAAGAGAAAATCCAAGAAATGATATTGACAAGCGCCCAATTCCAAGAAATGTTATCAACAAGTACGAGTTCCATGAAATAATATCGTACAAGCAACTTTGTCCTAGAAATGCCATCGCCGTTAGGGTTCCGTTAGCATCCCTCCTTTAGGTGCTATATGATGAACAATGTATTTAACGACACGGGATGGATAGAACCCTAACGGCAATGGCATTTCTCGGACAAAATCGCTTGTACGATGGTATTTTATGGAACTTGCACTCGTCAATGGCATTTATTGGATTTGGATGTTTGTCAATGACATTTCTTAGATTTTCTCTTTATTAAATGGATAAATACACATTGCTCTTTTTTTTTCTGTATGCATGTAATTCTTGCTTTATGCCTAAATTTTTTATTTGAATTGCCTACTCTGGGCATTCATAGGAATATTATAGATGTTAACCATCGTCCATTGATGACAGAACTGTACCTTCCACTCTAATGGCATGACACATCATATGCACAAACTGGACCTATAATCAAAATAAGGCATAATAATCATGTTCTTTTTCCCTGCCAGATAAATAAATAATTCATCTTGTTTGCCTACTGAGTGCTTTTGTAAGCATTGATATGTGCTTTTTAAGGTGATTACGAAGAAATGTCAAGCTCATAGTTAGCCAGCTAAAACATATGGGTGACTAACACAAAGGCAGCCTTAGGATAACAAATATAAGAGGAAACCATTCTAAATGTAAGGTTTTTTTTTTTTTACATTTCTTCATGGTATATTCTCCTTTTTCAGGTAGAGTTACTCCAGAAAGTGTCATATTCAGCTTTGGTACTGTTCTCCTCGACCTTCTAAGTGGAAAGCGCATACCTCCTTCCCATGTAAGTTTATTTTGCTAGTAAAGTATGCCTTTTCTTGTTCCTCTTTATCCTAGCTCCAATGCAGCATAAGAAGTCCGAAATCCGTACTGAAAATACCTTGGCCAGGTGGCATACAATGCTATTCTGCTTCTGCATATATATTTCTTTTGCATCGTGCTGATGCAACACTCCTGTGCAACTACAGTAGAACAGAGTTTTACTTATATAGACATGAACATTAAGAGGTTGACTGCTGCTTGAATTCATAGTATGGCTAACACTCTTAGCTGCTCCAAATATTATTTTACTTCTAAATGTAACTTGGTAGCATAATCACATCGTAAGTGGTAACAATGCTTAAAACAATTAAAACATGTGCTTTCTTATTGACAATTAGCTTTGTTTCACTCAGGCTCTCGATATGATAAGAGGCAAAAACATTCAAGTGCTCTTGGACTCACATTTGGAAGGAAAATACTCTACAGAAGAGGCAACTGCTTTGGTAGATCTTGCTTCTCAGTGTTTACAGTATGAACCTAGGGACCGTCCCAATACAGGAAAGCTGGTCTCCATACTTGATCCTTTGCAAACAAAACTAGAGGTAACCATTGTGTTTTTATCCTTACTTTTCTAAATCTTTTTTCTGTCTTTGATGGTTTAAGCCTTCTTTACTAATTTATGGCTGCCATATTTTGACTGACCTAATTTTATTTTAAAATACAAACAGGTGCCTTCCTATGAGATGCTTGGCATTCCAAAGCATGAAGAAGAAGCACCTCCTGCTCCTGCTCCTGCTCCAGCTCCACAACCACAACACCCTCTATCCCCCATGGGTGAAGCCTGTTCTAGGATGGACATGACAGCAATCCATCAGATTCTAGTTGCCACACATTACAGAGATGATGAAGGGACTAATGAGGTAAATATTGGAGCACTTTGATTTCTGTCATATGGCAGATCGTTGTCTAAGAAATCTATCTCTTCATCAATCTCCCTGTTGCAGCTATCGTTCCAGGAATGGACTCAGCAGATGAGGGATATGTTAGATGCTAGGAAACGTGGAGACTTTGCGTTTCGTGATAAAGATTTTAAGACAGCCATAGAGTGTTACACACAGGTTGGAACGTCAAATATCAGGAACCTTCTGGTGTTACAAAAAAATCGTTAGATTGAAGTTATCTCACTCCTTTACCTCCTCTTTGGGTTGCAGTTTGTTGATGTGGGAACAATGGTATCACCAACGGTATACGCTAGACGGAGCTTATGCCACCTCATGTCTGACCAACCTGATGCTGCCCTCCGGGATGCAATGCAAGCGCAGTGCGTATACCCTGATTGGCCAACCGCATTCTATATGCAAGCTGTTGCGCTCTCAAAGTTAAATATGCAGAGTGATGCTATGGACATGTTGAATGAAGCTTCGCAGCTAGAAGAGAAGAGACAAGAGCGTCTCTGGTCTAAAGATGCGTCTGCTCAGTCTCCTTTGCGGCTCAAAGGTTTATGTTGAGACGTGCTGCTCTTCCTTCAGAAAATTGTGATACATTCCAGGTTAAAGAGTTGGGTGTAATGGGGGGAAGGTGCTGCAGAATCCTTTTTTTTTTCTCTTTCGGACCAGATGTTGTAGATCCTGTGATTGTAACTATTTGGTTTGCCATTTCTATTATGCATTTTTTGGGGGGCACATGTATATGTAACATTAATTGAAAAAGAGAGAGAGAGAAACAGGCACCATGCAAGGGAATTTGTGGTGGTTAACACTAGAGTTCGGTTGTTGTGAATAAGGTGCACAGTTGATCTTGTAGCTGAAGCTATTTAACCAACAAACCATTGCTTGTGCTGAGGAGGCGAGCCGGCAAGGACATACTAAGCATCACCACAAGGGGTGTGATTAGTTTACGCCAATTTACAAGGGGTGTGTTTAGTTTACGCCAAAATTGGAAGTTTTATTGAAATTGGAACAAGATGTGACAGAAAAGTTGGAAGTTTGTGTGTGTAGAAAAGTTTTGATGTGATGAAAAAGTTAAAAGTTCAAAGAAAAAGTTGGGAACTAAACCAGACAAAGAAAGAATTATGTACTCTTATCTGGAAAAGAAGGTAGCCCAGCGAAATCTTAAAAAGGAGGGAGTTCTTCAAAAGGAAGAACTGCAAAATAACCCCTACCCTTAGGCCTTGGTTAGATTTCAACTTTTTTTCTTTAAAATTTCAACTTTTCCGTCACATCAAACTTTTATGTACACATAAACTTCCAATTTTTTATCATATTGTTTTAATTTCTTCAAACTTCTAATTTTTACGTGGAAAACGCAGGCTTAGTACTATATATCTGACATGCGGCAGGCGCGAGCTCGATCTGTTTCCATGTTCCACCACGATTAACCTTCCAGACACATGGAAGAGACGAGCACCTCGTGTCGCCAGTAGTAGACAGGATGGATGGTGATCACCGGTCTCATTTGTTTCGTTTATGTTTACGATTATACGAACCACTTATTAATATTTTTTTAGAAAAATATGAGAAACTTTTATACGTGTACCAAGCTATTTCTAGATCCGTCCATGCGTGCACGCACATCCTGATTATCGGTTTAAGTCTTGCTTTCAGGCACTGCTACTATAGCTGTTTTGACTATCAGGGCATCTGTATATGGACCAAATAGTCCATATAGGTGGGACCCATATAAGTGGTCTTTTATTATTTCTATTTTCACAATGTATATAGATAGCAATTGACATTAAGATGGGACCCACACTCTAAAAAAAAATTACTTCCAAATGCTATAGTTCTCTCATGAAAGAAGCAAAAAGAGAGATAGTATATTTTAATCTATATGGGTGGTCTTTATAGCTATCGGTAGCTTATCATATGGCTCTTCCTAATGCCACCTCCCACAATGGTAAAGGTACCCATATAGAGTTATAAGGACTGTTTTTTGGCCACATTGTGGATGCCCTCATGGTAGTACATTTCTTCAATAATTTATGCTCGGTTATACAAACTTTTGTAACCCCAGATCGAATACAGGAGAGGCGACCTCAAATCCTTTTTTTTACTTAAAAAGGTAGAAAGGCTTTACCTTATAACCATTTTACTAATGGTGAATCAAAGATTAAAAAAGGGTGAATAGCTAATTTAGTCCCTCAAGTTTCAGCGAAGGCTCAATTTGGTCCTTCACGTTTCATTTTATCCACATAGATCCTTCAAATATTTGTTTTGTCTTGAAATCATCCTTGGGTCCACTTAATATGCCATATGGCTATTTCTAGTCAATATTTCTATTAGAAAATGTCATTTTTGCCCTTAATTTGTATACATCTATATACTAGAAAAGAGAAAGCCAACATAAATAAACAACATTACAGATCTACTTCCCATTATTTCGACATGTGCACATGAAACTTAAGCAATTGCTATCGTATACACTTGCTAGTACATAATTTTTTTTCGTTTTACATAATATACTATGTATTATCTATAAAAAATTCAAGCATGCAATTTCTCTCTTATATATGTGAATGATGAGGGGTATAAGTGTCATTTATGAAGAGAGTTGTTGGTTCAAGGATAAGTTTGAACTAAAATGAAAACTTGAAGGATTAATATGGATAGATTGAAACATCAAGGACTAAACTGAGTCTCAGATGAAACTTGGAGGACCACTTTAGCTATTCACCCATTAAAAAAACAAAAGTAGGAGAACACAGGGAGAACAGTAGAGGGGTAAAAAATTAAGGGCAGAGAAACAAACAGAGCAACAGAAGGAAAAGGTAGAAAGATAGAAAAGAAGAAAAAAAAAGACAAAGGGGCTGGGAAACAGCCCTAAAATTAACTCAGCTTGTTCATCCATTGATGGATAAGATCGCGACTGTTGTTTGCGACACGGTGCTTCCAAAGACTGAGGTCTTCTTTGATGTGGTGTATAAGCTGTGAAAGCCGTATAAACTTTCATTCCGGAATGTTAGTTGCACGATTCCGAGCCTTCCAAAGGGTGTGCACGCACGCGGCAAAGCAAATTGGCCAGCCAGGTTGCAGCTGGTTCGGGGCTGTATCGTCATGACAGTCTCGACGACCTCAAGTCTTCAGTCTTCTCACTGCTTTGGTCTTCGGCATTGGCAGTGTCCCGGTCTAGTTCCTGAAAAAAGTTATAAGTTAGGGGAAAGTTGTAAGTTCAGAAAAAAAAAGTTAAAAGTTTATATGTGTAGGAAAGTTTTTGATGTGATATGATATAATGGAAAGTTAAAAATTTAGGGTAGTTAAGGGTTAACTAAACACGGCCCAAGCTGCCGCGTGCATACGCCATGCTATGCTCCAAATGCTCGCGGTCGCTGTTGCACTGAATGTGCCGTCCTTGACGGGCTCATCTAGCTCGTACGGTTGCATGTACATCGTTTGAGTTCAATCGGACGGAGTGATCGAGCCGACCATCTCGCGCGATACTGTCGTATATAAAGCCGTGCCGTGCGCTCTGCAGTCTGCAGTCTGCACACACGATCGAGAAACACAATTGACAGTACAGAATTTGTAAGTTGTTGATTTGCGCCATGAGAAGGCTTCTCCCGCTCGCCGGCGCCACGCTGCTGATCGCGGCGGCCGGCGGCGCCAGCGGGCAGCAGGCGGGTGTTGGGTCGATCATCACGCGGGCGATGTTCGAGTCGATGCTGAGCCACCGTGGGGACCAAGGTTGCCAGGGCGCCTTCTACACCTACGACGCGTTCATCAAGGCCGCCGGAGATTTCCCTAGATTCGGCACGACCGGCAACGACGAAACGCGCCGGCGCGAGCTCGCCGCTTTCTTTGGCCAGACCTCCCACGAAACTACAGGTAGTACTCACTACTCACAAGCTAGTCACAACCTTCACAGTTCAGATCACTTAATTTCTTCTGTTTTTATTTGCAAATTAAACGGATTACTCCATACAAAAGGTGGATGGGCAACTGCTCCTGATGGACCCTTTGCTTGGGGATACTGCCGGGTGAACGAGATCACGCCGTCGGACCCGCCCTACTACGGCCGAGGACCCATACAGCTTACTCAGTACGTTCATAAAAAAAAACCGCACACAAACAGTTCTAAGTTATTGCAACACATATCGTCTCATGCAATGAAATCTATTACTACTAATCTACAAATAATCAATGGATCCACCAAAATAAATCTGATATGATGCATGCTCTCGTATGTATTATGCAGTAAGTACAACTACCAGCTAGCCGGGGACGCGTTGGGTCTGGACCTGGTGAACAACCCCGACCTGGTGTCAAGCGACCCCGTGGTGGCGTTCAGGACGGCCATCTGGTTCTGGATGACGGCGCAGTCACCCAAGCCGTCGTGCCACGACGTAATCACCAACCAGTGGACGCCGTCCGGCGATGACCGTAGCTCCGGGAGGCTCCCCGGCTACGGCATGGCCACCAACATCATCAACGGCGGTGAAGAGTGCGGCAAGGGCTACTCCACCGACAACGCCAAGGACCGGGTCGGCTACTACAAGAGGTACTGCGACATGTTCCGCGTAGGATACGGAGATAACATAGCCTGCAGGGACCAGAAGCCCTACGGAGGAGGTTAAGCACTGGAGACGATCGACTGGGAGTACGTCGTCATAAGCGGATTCTCCTAGTGCTAGTACAGCTGCTGGTTGCTTGCTAATGGCTAGCTTAGCCTTCGCGTACATACGTATATGTACGTGATACTAGTACGAATAAAGCTAGCAGAGAGCGTTCGCGGATATCATGTAACAGATATGAGTATATGACACATGGTCGCTTATCTCACATGTTATTGTGAAATAATATTATTACTGGTGGAACGATGCCCCTAGTTAAACTGATCGTGTGACCGGTATCTGTGTTAATTTTCTTCAATTGCTTTCGCATCTCAGCTCCCACGGCGATAAGCGATCATGAGCTAGCGCTGTCTCTGCCGCGCGCTGCACTCGCCGTACGTACAAGCCCAACGCCAAAGTTGCCGCTTGGCGCCGCGCACCTAACTGGATCTATCTCCCCCAACCACCGAAACAGGAGGCGAGAGTCGCGAAGACTGGATCGGGGGAGCATATCGATCAGTCTTCTGCTAGTGCTACATCAAACATATTTTACTTGCAAGTGTCTTTGACAAACTCAAACTCGTACAGCGCTCCGAAGGTTGTCAAAAGCGAATATTGTTTGCGCAGAAATTTTGGCCCATTGGGTGAGTAGTGTCCCCTGCGGGCTGTGGTCCGAATCAGCCACCAGTTTGTTTAGCGGGCTTCTCCGCGCACAAAATTTGGCCCATACATCTTTCTTGTATTGCTGGGTTCCTAGGATCTGTTGTTTCGATCTGTTATAATCGGTGCACAAAAAATTGGCGGCGCAAACATGAATATAAAGTTCTTGAATCATAGTCTTATAAGAGATTCTAGCATTGTCAAGTCAGAAAGCATCATATTATCTTGAGAGAAGACCAAAAGATTGATTGATATCTCGGTGCTACTACTATATGTACAATCGAATCCACAGCTAGCCATTCTACGCTACTTGTTCTTCGTCGACGGGTGATTTGATCTCTTGCTCTTGCACATGCATCTGGAGATCGTGATCGACTCCTCTTGCTTCGATGCACAATGTAATTCTCTGCCCCTTGCTTAGTAGTAGAGCAGATGGGCGTAGGGAGACAGGCAGTGCTGGTCCTGCCACGGGCTGCGCAGCTGCGTCAGGAACGGGTCCTGCAGCCAGTCCATCGCCGGAAGCTGCAGGCTCGGCAGCTGGCTCACCGCCGGGAGCTGTAGGCTCGTCGCCGACGCCACCGTGACCGTGACGTCTGCTTCTTCCTTCTTGGCTTCCCTTGGTGCGCCAGCGCCGCCGTTCTTGCTGCTGCTGCCGGACGGCGCCGCCGACGAGGATGAGGACTGGATCAGGAAGCCGCTGTCGTGGACGTCGTCCGACGAGAAGTAGTCGTCGCCGGTGGAGGCGGAGGCGTCGTGGACGAGGGATGCTCTCGTCGCCGTGTAGTCTCCGTGACTTGATCCTCTCTGCATCTCTTCCATTGCCGAGGCTCTCTGCTCCAGCTCCTTCAGTGGCGTCGCCTTCCGGTATATCTTGCAGAGCACCATGTCCTCCTGCCGCCAAACACAGTGTGAGAAAAATCCAAGTTAAAATTGTACTACTAGTGGAGTATTTGTTCTCTGGAGTAAATTTACATGTACAATGGTAAAAATCAAGGCAGTCAACTCCCAAGTCAACCGTGTCAATTCTTAATTCTTAATGCTTGGTGCGCTTTCGTGGAATATCTACATCATTGATACTGCAAGTCTACTGGGACAACGACTACATTGCACCCCATTTTCACACCAAAAACAACCAAATTAATGAGAGCATTCACTGCCAATGTACTAATACTCTAATACTAGTACTACATATGACATGATCATTGTTCGTTCAAAAAAGAAATAAATGACATGATCATTCTCACTTCATTCCGATCATTTTTTTTGTGACCATTTTAAGAATTCAGTAGTACTAATATTTTGCGATCACTTAAAGGATTCGTTCTAATAATTAACTCTGCAACTGATTGTTCTTGTTAATTGCTAAGAGAGCATTAGTTTAACCTTGGGAGGCGGCGCGGCGGCGCGGGCGGCGCCGTAGTCGGGGAGGCGGTACTCGTTCATGACCCAGTCCGTCTTGGTGCCGCGCGGGGCGCGACCCTGGTAGAAGACGAGCGTCTTCTTGAGCCCGATCACCCGCTTCGGGTCGCCGGAGCTCCGGATCGCCCTGTCCGACCCCGTCGCCTTCCAGAACCCGCGCTCCGTCGTCCGGTTCGGCCGCCCGCCGTTCCCGGCCTTCCTGTCCCGCGGCACGAAGAAGTACCACTCCCTCTCCCCGATCTTCGCCATGCCTGCACATTTTTACAAGAAACACACACATCATCATCATCAGATCATCCAGCTCAAACACTGTCTCCGTTCTTGCTGAACTCTCACTGTGTGTTGGTGTTTACCTGGGAGGTCCCAGGGATCATGGCGGTAGATGTTGAGGGTGCCGATGATGTTGAAGTGGAGCTTCTTGCCTAGGACGACGCGGGAGAGGTAGAAGTCGAGGAGCTCCTCCTCCGTGGGGTGGAAACGGAAGCCCGGGAGGTCCTGCTCCACCTCCATGGACGGCCCAGCCACAGCCACTGCCGCCGCCATTGATGACAGTGTGCTCTGCTCGCTCGCTCGCTCGCTCTGCTCCAGGTGGTGGTGGTGGTTGCCTCTGCACTTGGCTTGCCGATCTTGATTTTTACTGGAGACGATGGACGAGGTGAGGTGGAGATGGTTGTGGATGTGGAGGCAACGAGCTTATATAGAAAAGAAAGGCATTGCATTGCTTGAATACTTTAACGCGGTTTCATGGAGAAAACCGGTCGCAATTTCTTAGCACTGGTGACAACGACCAGTGCAGTCTCCAGTGCTTGGCTTCAGTAGTAGTAAAAAATAATCTGGGCGGCTTAACAGTAAAATTTATTTAACTGTATTTAATTTGGAGGGTTTTGCTTATTTGTGAGTGTGCATTAGGAGACTTGTCAGGTCACACAAATTGACTCATTTTTCACTCACCTGAAACATATGGCATTATGGCCTATTCATTCCCTTTTGCTGTGCCGAATATTTATGAGTAACTCTCCAATTTGGCTGCTGGGGTGAGAGTTATTCCACAGTTTTAAATTTGAAAACGATATCTGTTTTACATAATTTTTTTTACAAATAATCTGTTTTACTCAATAATTGAAGTGCAATCATTTCTGCAGGCATTCTCTCGGTTTATTTATTGGTCTTCATGTTTTACTACTTGATTAAGATCGTTTAGAATTTTCGTGATTCGCATAAGAAATTAAGTGTTCCTTACGAAGTTCATGTCGTCCGAGAATGTAACTTTCTCAACAGGTGGAGGTAATTAGCCATGATATCGTCTAAATGAGTAATTTAATTTGTGATTTTTTTTGCATAACTTGTCATTAATTACTACTACCTCCATATTAAAATATAAGAGATTTTGTCCACGTAGATAAATAGTCTACATGTAATCAATGGTGTGTGAACGTTGCATAATTGTATTGTGTTTGTATCAGTGGGGATTTTTTTTAGAAAACTCATAAAGGATCTACCATGCAAAATTTCAACAAGCTGGATATCTACATACTTAATTAGACTTTCTGCTGTAATTCCACAATAAACTTCAGCCTTGTCATCGGATCATATAATTAAATGATACCATGTTAACTAAACCAATATGTAACACTGCATGGTCTTATTAATTAGGCGATTATATATTGTTGAGCCTCTCGAAACTGTGACCGGACTAGATCATATACGATGTCCACATCAATGGAATATTGGACTTGGTATAAGCTTGTCGGATAGAGATTGCGACCAATTCCAAAATTAAAGATGTCATTGTCATGTACTACATTCTTTTCTGTTTCTCTTCGAGATACCGCGCTAACCTATAGTTATAAAGTTGAATGATAGTAATATGAAACCCTAATTTATTCCTTCTTAAGAAAAGGAAGAAGAGAGAGTAACGTCTGGTTAATCTTGCTGTATTATTCCGGGAAAGGCGGCCACATCTCATTTTACTTGCACACTTTTGTTTGCTGAAGGGTTGGCGCAGCATGATCTTCGTCTGACTAATCTGTTAAGAAAAACAGCTTATTGTTAAAGATTTTAAACATGTTTTTGGACTTAAAGTTGCCGAGGATCTTCGATACACTTACAAAGGATCATGGAGCATTGCAGATCAATATAGAAGTAGGACAAGTGTAATTACCATCAGATTACCATTTTCATGCGTGCATAGTAGTACTTGTGGTCTAATTAATTGCCTCTTTTTTAAGGTAGCATCACGGCAGTCCTACCTTTTAAACATGTGGTATGTGACATCTAGAATACTTTTCTTTTCAATGGGCAGAAAAACGACTGGAGAGATTATCTGTTGATCAGGCATCCCCAATGTGAATTTGAACTAAGCAATTTAATGATGAACAGGCAGAACAGAAACTGTTGGTCAGTTCCACGTTTTACCGATGACTTGATGGTCTCCCAACATCTATCTGGAAAGCAAAACAGGTAATGAGGTTTCCATTTTATCCCTGCTTTTACCTTCCCTTTCACTTTCTTACGGGAGACTGGAGTTAAGTCAGAACGAAAAATTACTTCAATTTCAGGTAAGAGACTAGAATTACTGTACCATGAAAGGTGCGATAACAGAAAGAAGAGTCACAAGCCACAGTGTCGTGGCTTCGACACCATGTCACCCTTGCGTTTGGTCCATTTGAGAGGATTGCAACAATCAGATCTTCAATCAGCAAAGGATTGGAAATCCCGGACCAATGATCGTTAGCAGGTTCTCATAGGTTGTTCATATTCTCTAATAAACCAAAACGGCTTCTTAGAGATAAAAATTAATTTATAGGTAAAATTTTTATATGTATGTTAGCGTCTTCAGAGTTAATGCTGAAAAAGAAACTACGTTGAAAATGTCTTAACATCAACTTTAAAATTAAGTTTGAAAATTAAAAGTTTGGCTTTGGCTATGACTTATTAGGGCACCAATGGGGCTCTTAGCCGGTGATTAGGGGCCTGTTTAGTTTCCAAACAAAATTTTTCATGCTGTCACGTCGAATGTTTGGACACATGCATAGAGTATTAAACGTAGACGAAAAAAAACCAATTACACAGTTCGCCAGGAAATTGCGAAACGAATCTTTTAAGCCTTATTGTGCCATGATTTGACAATGTGGTGCTATAGTAAACATTTGCTAATGACGGATTAATTAGGCTTAATAAATTTGTCCCGCAATTTTCTGGCGGAATCTATAATTTATTTTGTTATTAGACTATGTTTAATACTTCAAATGTGTGTCTGTATATCCGATGTGACAGGTAAGGGCAAAAATTTTTTTCCAACTAACGCCGCGTTTAGTTCTGAAGTTTTTCTTCAAACTTCCAACTTTTTCATCACATCAAAACTTCCGTCTTTTACGTCACATCGTTTCAATTTAAACCAAACTTTTAATTTTGATATGAACTAAACAAAGGCTAAACAAGCCCTAGGTTTTGGAGGTCAGCCATCAAGCTCGTTTGAGAACTCCAGTGAGGCAGCGACTAGTAGACATGAAATTTTTCAGCCTTTTCGACCTTAGCTAGCTAACTATAGGTGTGTGGCTGCCTGTCGCGTTTTGGTCATCTTGACCGACTTTGAACAAAGACTGCATGCATATTCATCATGAAAAGGACTAGTGTGACGAACCTAACGAATTCCTAGTGGACCAACCAAAGGCCCCATCGTTTGTCTTTTTTCTTGACAAGCCAAAACAGCTTATTAGAGAATAAAAATAAATTTATAGGTAAAAATTTTATATATGTGTTCTTGGTGACTTAAAAGCCAATGCTGTAAAAGAAACTACGTTGAAAATATCTCAAAATTAATCTCAAAATTAAGTTTGAAAATTTAAATTTTGACTTTTTTTTAGCTGTTTAGGTCATCCGTGGGAGCAAAAGAGCTTATATAGTTTCTCACTGTTTGACAGCGACATTACACGCATTGGGTGGGTCGTGACAAAAATATTTGAACAAAACTCGGTTCCTACTAGTTATGTGTACAAACACCGATCACAACTGACAGGACAGAAAGGATGAAATAATTTCCTCATGAAACGGTCAGAGTTCCTGAATTTCAGCAAGAATTCAGACGGGATAAGGCGATCGGAGTTTTCCTAGCTACTTCCTAAAGTTATAACAGGCAAAGCGCATGAAGGTTTATGGTGTATAAACAACATGTAAGTTAGGCAAATGCCTGGGAAGTCATGCATATGAGAATATGATTCTAGTAGCTCTTGTGCTTAACTTGGTAAGGAAAAATGTGTCTAATGCATGCCTGTGTGAATGTCCTGAACAGATATAAACAGAAGACTGCATGCTGATTGGTTCCATATATAGCTCTCACAAAAAAAAATATAATCACTAATGTAAAGAGAATATGAAAGCATGCGTAGTATTAGACGTAGTTTCTAGAGTATAATCAACGGGAGACGGATTTTTTTTCCTGAGGACATATTCCCTTTTTTAATGTCATTTAAAAATTCTTCAAAAAAATTAAAATCTTTTGATACGATAAATCAATATGTGATGTTCATTCCACAAACATGCAAATTCAAATTTGATTTATATAATTAGAAACGAAAATAATAATTTTGACTATGAATTGTACGTTCTATTAATAGTTAAATTTATTTAATTTTTCTACTTGTATTAAGTTAAATTTAATCCTACATGTTTGTTTAGTGACATATTACATATTGATCTATCTTACTATTTTTTAAATTTTTAGTGATATTTTAAGCGACATGAAAAAGGAGAGAACATCCTTTCAAGAGATAAATAGACTTTCCTTAGCTTGTTAGTACAGTTCAGTAGTGCCAACCACAGGACCACTTATACATATGCATATCTAAACTGTTTATTACTAACTAAATAAAATCATTTATAGTAAAACTTTTATATATGTGTTCGTAGTGATTGAAAAGTAATCGATAAAAAATCCACAAAATCAACTTTAAAATTAGGGTAAAATATGTAAAATTTGATTCACGTTGATAATAATTACCTGAAGGTATAAAAATTAATATAGAATTTAGATATCTTAAGATACTTTCTCAATGATTTAAAATTTCTCTTAGAACTAAATTTTAAATTTAAAGTTTGGTTTATAAGCATAAAATAAGCGAAACGATAGGCTGCCTGTCATAACGAAGTACGTTGATGCATTTTCTGTGGTTTGGCTAAGAAAAATAACGTGCTTAGTTAGGCATCACGCGGCCTTTTCTTTTCCTGTTGAAACTAGTAGTGAATTTGAAGGTTGCATTACACTGACAGACAGTCAAGTACCGTACCACTCTTTCTCGTTCTTTCCTTGACCGGTTCAAATGTACTGTGCCGGTACAAACAAACAAACGAACAAAGTATGAATTCCAAGCCTCTAGGTTCTAACTACTCATCCATCACATAAAAAAACAATAACTTGAATTCCAAATCCATGACCATGAAGATATCCTTTCATGCATTCACACATTTCAGGACCTCCTTTGGAATAGGGGAATTGTTAGAGGATTATACAATTCCAACTAATTAACGGCATGGTACGCTGTCAATTGTTCGGTACTACTCCATGTCCATGTCCATGTCCATGTCCAGCAGAAATTAAGTCATGTCAGTTTCAGTGCTCTTTGTTAGACTACTGTATTTTGTAAGCACTCAACACTAACCACAAGAGTAGCAGAGACCTTGGTGGTGGACTACTCCGCGTGAAAGTCAGTAGGCCGGCCGTTAGTGTACAAGAGATTTGCTTGATTTTCCTCTGCATGTCCGGTTGTCCACCCTCTGAAATGGGGAACAGAGACAGTAGCCATAGACGTCTCGTCAACGCAGAGGCGAGGCGACCATTCAAGTCGAGTCGTCCACCGAGGAGACCACACACCTCATCTCCCTGATCAATTGGCTGAGCAGTTCGCTATAGCCAGTGCTTGTTCCATTTTAAAATATAAGAGATTTTAAACGTGGATATAACATATTATAATATTTTTATTTAAATTCGTAATATTAAAATATATCTTATTTATTTAAAATTATTTATATTTTGGACGGAGGGAGAGCTAGGTTTGCGGAAATTTTCAATAGCCTCATGGGCAGACAAGTTAAAGCAAGTTATCTAAGAGAAAAGGTTAAAGTAGTTACAGTCACATTATAAAGTTCTGTTAAACAACTTGCAGCAGATTCGGCCCATCTGCAAAGTGCCATTGTTAAGCAGCATATACTAATACTCCTACTATGTGATTTGCTATTTGACGCGTGGGCCTACTAGCCGTACGAAATAAAGTCGTATTGGACGCGTAGCTATGTTGCTTCTACGTCTGCTTCGTCATGGTTCGTTTCGTTCGTACGCAGGGAATCAAGCATATGATAACCACTGGAATAGTAACGGTAATAGCAATGGCTAGAGGGAGCTCCAGTGGCCTGTGCGAAGCATACGGAATCCGAATAGCAGCAACCTCCTTCAGAGATAGACGTACTGTACGTACTTGCCATCAACTAAGCAGTTTCAGTGAAACTTCCACCATGCTTTAATGCTTTGCCTGATCCCAGATTCCCAGACTTCAGTGCAACACCCGGGAAAATTCGGACTCGCCGCACTCGCTGCAACTCCTAGCATGTGTTTAGATTGGCCCAAAGTTTAGAATTTGGTTGAAATTAAAGACGATGTGACTGAAAAGTTATGTGTGTATGAAAGGTTTGATGTGATGGAAAGTTGAAAGTTTAAAAAAAAAAACTTTGGAACACACAGTAGCTCGCAAGGCGCCATTCCGCCGAATTGCTTAGGCAACAGGCTACTTGCATGGGAGTTCGTTTTTGCGTGTGCGATTCGGTGCGGTTGCGGCACCGGGCTTGATGGATTGGGTAGTGGCCGAGGCCGATGGCTCTCCGGCAATTTGTTCGGCCCAGCCGCGCGTGGCGAGACCGTGGGCGTGGGAGTTCACGCACGCAGGGAGCGGGTGTGGGTTGCCGGGCTAAAAAGCCGCCGGCAACAGCCACGTCCCGCCGCGCGTCGCACGTCCGCGCCACGAGGCACCGACCTATCCCCGCCTCGCGCGCCAAGCGCTCCACGCGCCGCCCAGCGCCGCAAGGCCCGCAAATACGTGGATCCCCCACGGCGCAACGCCGCAAATAATTTACCCGCACGCAAGCCTGCACGCGAACGTTCGCGACACTTCGTACCAATCCATTGTCCGTCGAACGCCAGAACTATTTAACCAAGACCAGGCGCGCGAAGAGCGAACGACGCTATAGCTTCAGCTACGTAGCCGTTGTTCATCACTCACTCAACTCAGCTCAGTAGTCAGTGCGTACTAGGGACCGATCGATGGAGAAGCTGGTGCCGAACACGAAGAAGGCAATGGAGGACAAGGAGGAGAAGCCCAAGGTGCCTTCGAGCGACCCGGACCTCGTCGACCTCGTCGCCGGCGAGCAGCCGCAGCTGCAGCGGGAGCACCAGCCGCCCAACATCTCCGAGATGAAGCCGCTGACGCGGGAGGCGTACGGCGGCGGGATGTACGCCAACGAGGGGCGGAGGGACCCGACGCGGCCGCGCGCCAGCGCCACGCAGAGCGCCGACGGCCCGGAGGAGGCCGCCGTCAGGCCCAAGCACGCGCCGCCGCCGTCCACCGGCGACCGCGACCTCGACATCACCGGCCAGTCCTACATCCAGTAGTTTGTTGTGTGTGTCCGTGCCGTGACGGTGTATGCGTGTAGTCAGGCAGTTTGGTCCGGAACAAAGATGTGCATAGGTCGTTCCACGCTGTAACGAATAAATGTAAGTTTACTTGCTGTAATTTGGCCCAATAAGGCTACCGGCCTACCAACCGGAGATCGTTAGTCTTGGCCTACTAACTCTTATGGACCTTGCCAATGGGCTAATCTGACCAAGTGCCCATGGATCATAATAAAGTCACGAGGAACCTCTCTTATCAGCCCGCAAAATTTTACCGTTTTCATCCCTTAATATCCTTTAATATAATTAATATCCCTTAATATAAAGGATTTTGATATTTTGCTTGCACTATTTAACCATTCATTGTATTTTAAAAAATTATATAAATATATAAAAAAAAGTTGTGCTTAAAAGTACTTTGATAATAAAAAGTACTTTGATAATAAAGTAAGTCACAAATAAAATAATAATAATTTTAAATTTTTTAATAAGATAAATGGTTAAACAATATAAATAAAATATCAAAATCTCTTATATTAAGATACAGATATGGTAATTTTTAAATGATTTTGAAGTTTTGTTTTCATTATGCTTTATATTTTCACCACTACCTAGCTAAAATAAATCTTACTAAAATAAACGTTTGGATGACACAAAACATTTTAACTGGATAGATGCTGCCACTTTTCCACGACAACAACGTAAGCTGCCATGGCCACGGCAGAGGCCCGCGGAACCACAGCCAAGCGTAGATAGCCTCCAAAATTCTCGACGGTAACACGCGTGTCACCGTGTCAGTGTCTCCACGGTCAATGCTTATCCAGTATATCTATCCAAAGCCGGGGAGGTAGGAGACATGTTCCACGGCGCCGCGCCATCTGCACCGGCCGCGCTGAGCCACGAGTTACCTCAGCACCTGGCCGCGCTTGTGGCGGGAGCCGGCCGTTTCACTCTCGCGTGCGCGTGACGTGGACGATCCGTGGCCGCTAGACACGCGAGTCGCTTTTCCACGTAGCCTTTTGTCGCGACGGTCTCTGGCCTGGTCCTGATCGGGTTCAGTAGAGCCGCCTGGTTGGTCGCCACTTGGGACAGGAGCGCTTTTTGTCCACATGCTGTGACTTTGCGTGGAGCCACGTAAGATAGACCAGGCCATGTGATCCGTGATCAGTGCTATACTATGCTTTAGCGTACGTGATTTATGGAATTTAATTTTATGATATAATATATATGATTTTAAAAACATTATTTTAGTATACCATCTTATTGTCAGAAGTTGAAGGTTTAACCCATCACACATTTTCTTAAGTTCTTTTCTTTTTATTTTTGAGACTTTTTGGTTGTATGCTCACAGGCAGAGATCAGAGATACAATCCATTTCTATTATTTAAAAATTTTTACTTTATTTTCATTTATAATTCTAATGAATTTTAGCATTGTAAAATTTAGTTGAAAAATAGACTAAACAAATTCTTATCATTGTTTTCTTATGAAGTTTTAGAAAATCCCAAAGCTTCCACTGTTAAAACTCTACATAAGACTTTAAACTGAAGTCTGACACTATCAAAATTTAATCCCACCAAAATATAGCAAATGGTACCGCCATTTGTAATACTAAATATTGGTAAGGTTAAAAATTACAACAAAGTAAAAAGCCCAACGTGCGTATATAGGGACCAGTGTCGCGTGATAATAATAATTTTATCTTTGCTAGTGTGCGTGAGACACAAGCAGCACAAGACATGGGACGGGGTCTTCTAGTAGGAGTGCCAAAACAATTTGAGCTCACGTCTTGGGATTCCACTACCGATTTTAAACTGCATTTTCAGATAAAGTGTGTGAATTATCACAAACAAAATAAAATGCTTTTTTTCATTAGTTTCCAGAAGAGTAGGGGAGAGAGGCTGGCCAACTTGTTGGGCCGGGCCGACCGTGCGGCTCCCTGCGTACCGATCACCACAAACTTAGCACACGGTGGCATCCTTGCGGTGGGCCCACATCGGGGGGTCCCCTCCTGATTACTGCCAATCTTGACTCCCACCGACAAGCGGGACCCACCAGCATCCTTCGTCTTCTTCCCAAGCCCCATGTTCTTCTCCTTCCTCCTCATCGCCACTCCTCTCCCCCACCTGCAAAGATCTCCCACCCCTAAACAAATCCAAATAAAAGCCCCGAAAAAAAAGGCTTGCTCATTTATGTCTCCTCATTTCCGCGAGCTGATTCGCAATCAATCGCTCTCTCGCTGGTTCGGATGATGCCCGCGGTTTCCCTCTTCGCCACCGCCCCTTTAAAACCCTCCCCCTCGCCTCCGGGCTCCCACCACCGCCGCCACTGAGCCAGTCCGCCGCCGCCGCCGCCGCTCCTGAAGCCCTCGCCGTGGCATGAGAAGATGGCCGCGTGCTCCAGGGGGCTCGTGGCGCGGCCGTTCGATCTGACCGCGAGGGGGGCGGCGCACTGGCCGTGCCCCGCCCCGCGACGCCGCGCGATCCGATGCTGCTGCCGCGCGCAGCAGGAGCCGCGGAGGCGCCTCTCCAAGGCCGCGGCGGCCGCGCCGGAGCGCACCGAGGAGTGGCGCATCGACGGGAACAAGCCCGCCGCTGCCGCCCGGGGCAGGCGTCGCGCCAGCCTCACCGCAATGCCGTCACTCCCCTTCCCTTCTCCTCGGTACGTGCACGGCGGCTCGTCACTGAACATGGCCCATTTTTCTGCCTTATCCAGTCAGGCCTCGCATTTGCCACTTACAGTAACATGTTGTCTAATCATTCCAACATATGGATTGTTTTTTGCTTTATGCTGAATTGTCGTAGTGACAAGTTAATGTGCCAATGCTTTTGACACACGCTTTATGTAGTGGAATAAACCGTACCTTTCTGCTGTTGCACGAATGCTCTTTGTTCAGAGAATGAATTTTGATGGTAGACTTTGTTTTCACTAGTATAGTTCTAGGAGGCAGTGGAAACAACAGAATTTCTATCCACGGTGCACGCCAAGAGGGCCAGCTCCTCAATCCCGTGATACTCCGCCGAAGAGAGGTGGGTTCCTTGCTGATACTTCCAAATTTTGTGATAGACATAGTGTACTCCAAAAGGAAACACCCGACCCGCAGTTCCAAGTGTATTTTTCAGCTTTGCTAAGGAAATGCATTTGTTTTCTTTGCCACCTGCCTTATAGACACTGGTATTGCTAGTGAGAAGGAATGGGGAATCAACCTTCTGGATGAAGCAGTCAAGGAGTCTGGGACAAATGAAGATGGAAGCACCTGGTACAGGGAGAGTGGAGACGATCGTGGTGATAATGGGTACAGGTGTCGCTGGGCTAGGATGGGAGGACAGAGTCATGATGGTACCACTGAATGGAAAGAGACGGTATGTTCTTGTTGTTTTACCCTTAACTGATAATATTCTAGTACAAATTTATCAAGTTGTATACCTTTGTATGATGCACCTGAGTTAAGAGTTACCATCTCAGTTTTGTGCAAACACCACATTTTCGTATGAGAAGGATCTAGAAAAGATTTCTGGGATGTAGCCATTATATTCCAATGACTTCTTTATGTAACTTCTGATGCTAATGAGCTGTTGTTGATGCTTGTGGCACTAGTTAGAATCGAAGATATGTCTGCCATCCTGCAAGTTGCTTCGTGCTTGTTCCAATAGCTATAGCGCACTCTGCAATAGATCCAACTTGCACTTTCTTACTTGACTGAGAATAGGGATTTGGAATTATAATCTCCCAGGATTTCATAGGCCGTAGCTAACTCTTTTGGCACATTAATCAATGCTGGACAGAATTCTTGAGTTGTTAAAAAGATTTTTTCTAACAGATCTCAATAATTTATTATGTGGCAGTGGTGGGAGAAAAGTGATTGGACCGGATATAAGGAGTTAGGTATGAACATATCTTTATAATGAAGGCTCTGGTAGCAAATGGTCTTTGTAATTTGTTGTTAAATTTCCTAAGAATTCAGTTAATTTTCTTATTTATGTGTGCCCTTTTCCTTTTGCATATCTGATCAGCCGTCGTTGACTTTTCATTACAAATCTCTCACATTAGGTGCGGAGAAGTCTGGAAAGAATGGTGAAGGTGATTCTTGGTGGGAGAAATGGAAAGAAGTTCTTTACCAAGATGAATGGAGGTAAATTATTAGCATGCAAATTCATTTTTTTAATGATACTAGCTCCTTGCTTAAATAATACAAAAATACATAATCTCCACTGAATTTTAACTAATTTTGTCACCAAAAATAAGTTTACTGTTCTTTGTTTCTGCCTGCTGAAGAAAACAATTGTTTGGGGAGGGGGGGGGGGGAGGACAATTGTTGACCCCTTGGTTATACTTCTGTGAACAAAGAACTTTGATTGTGTTAAGCGCTTGGCGCTTGCAATTTCTTGTTGTCTGTTTGGAACAATTTTGTTTGACCATATATCCATGCTCTATTTACTTATATTTGAAATTTAGCACATTATTGACTGTTATTACCAGACATGGCTATACACTTCAACTTGGACTTTTGGACACATCATATGTGCACCAATTATCGATTAGCATGCATTATTTTCTTATTCCTCTTATGGCCTTCTAGTACCTTTGTTTGAAGGAAACTTGTTCTGTGGGCTCAACTGCTTTAGGATTGTTCAATTTAGTTTGAACAATAACTGTCTAGAACCAAAACAGCATAAGCTCTCCTGTGGATTGGGATATTTGACACGAATATCCAGTGAAAATCACAGTGCTGATTCATAAATTATCCTGTTCAGAGAGTAGTTCTAATTTCTAAACATACTGGGCACATAATATATTTCTGGCTTAGTGTTATGATCATAATGATCTGTACTTTTGAGTAAAGGTCCTGAATTCTCTTTAAGATAGGGAAATTAAAGCAAACTAGGTGATACCCCGCGCTTTGCTGCGGGATTCACGAATGAGTATATGTTAAATATTGTCGAAATGATGAAAGTTGAAATGTTAAAAAAATAATATGAGGAAGATGATTTGATACATACTTGTTGATCTCTATAATATAATATTATAGATGATATGTCATGCTTGCATGGGATTTAAAATAGGCTAGAATAGTAATTGCTAGTGAGTGAAAATGTGGCATGCTTGCATGGGATTTTAAATGGGTTAGAATAGTAATGGCTAGTGGATGATGATGTGGCATGCTTGCATGTTTAGCTTTAGCTTTAGTGGGTACCAACTATATAGAAAGTATAGATTAGTTAATAAATGACCATCTAGCACAACATTGTAAACTGTAGATCATAACATGATTTACATTGTGCAAACAGCAATCTTGCAAGAATAGAGAGGAGCGCTGAAAAGCAAGCGAAATCAGGAGCAGAAAATGCTGGGTGGTATGAAAAATGGTGAGAGTTATCTCAGGCTTTCGTTTAGGTTTGGTTGCAATTGTTCTGCAAAATATTTGCTTGAACTGTTGAAGTGTTCATGTTTCTTTCCTAGGTGGGAGAAATATGATGCCAAAGGCTGGACAGAAAAAGGTGCTCATAAGTACGGAAGATTAAATGAACAATCCTGGTGGGAGAGGTGGGGTGAACATTATGATGGCCGGGGTTTTGTATTGAAATGGTGAGCCTATATATATAGTGCTATTTTGCAGACTATTGTTATACTGTACTTTAGTTTATCTTCAAGCACTATACCATACACTTTACATTGTATTACATGTTTCTTATGCTGCGCGCATTGTGGCCTAAATTTGTAGTCTAGGTTGTGCATTTACATTGTGCATCATATTTGAGGCACAAGTTCTTTATACTTTTAATTTATTTGCCTGTTCAATCATGATTGGAACATCCGATGTATGTTAATTGGTAACCACTGCAATTCATTTGTATTACAGGACAGATAAGTGGGCAGAGACAGACTTAGGCACCAAATGGGGGGACAAATGGGAAGAGAAATTCTTTGCTGGAATTGGTTCTCGACAAGGGGAGACATGGCATGTATCCCCTGGTGGAGATCGTAAGTTTCATCGTCATTTATATATATGCACAGTATCCACCTTGATGATGGGCTTTGTTCTCTTTGGATGCTGGTATTAGGCATAAATGCTAAGCACCTTTGGACCTTTGATGCATAGAAAAAGTTTGCCTGCTGCATTGGCCGAAATTCACACTGGTGCAATCTATTGGAAGCTATGCTGGATATTTTAACATGTTGCTTTTATATATGAGCTGTATCTACTGTCTGCATACTCAGGTTTAGAAGTTAGATCCTGTTTATTGCATTGTTAAATGTGTGCACCGCTCGTAGTGTGACTTATGACTTATCTGATTTCCAATTGCCATCCACTTATCTGATTTGATACTTTCAGGATGGTCAAGAACTTGGGGAGAAGAGCATTTTGGTAATGGGTATGTTCCATCATGACGCTGGTCTCGCATTTGGTTTGACTGACACTTGACATTAATAAATGAATTGAAACCACATGGGCTTGTCCTTTTCTAATACACTATATGTCATTCTGCAATGGTTCTTCTTGCAACGATACTACCTGGCATTACAGTAGTAGCTTTCTTAGATACTGTTGTTCTCTTGTATTTCAGAAAAGTTCATAAATACGGCAAGAGCACAACTGGCGAGAGCTGGGATTTGGTAGTTGATGAGGAGACGTACTACGAGTAAGATTATGTCTTGTTTGGTTCTTCCAGACATCTTCGGAGTATTTTCAGATTTACAATTTGGCGTTGATCTGTGCATTGTCAATTAGGGCGGAGCCTCATTACGGATGGGCTGATGTCGTTGGAGACTCAACACAACTTCTGTCGATACAACCTGTCGAAAGGCCACCAGGAGTGTACCCAACTATTGACTTCAGCGCTTCATCTCCAGCTCCACCTTCGGATGATCCACCAGGCATGCCTCCTTCGCCTCTGGAATGAGTCATACCTGTGCCAGTACAAAAGAGAAGCTTTTCTGCATAGGTTTCCAATTTTGCCTGTAAGGGGAACATTCTTTGTAGAAAGGGGATCAACCGCAGTATTGCGTTCATTGGTTCATTCATTCTTTCGTAGCATGTTTTCCTTCCGCGGCTTAGCGTTTTATCGTTCCGGACTGCTGTTTGATCAATTAGGCGAAATAATCAGTGGCTCGCGATCATATTGTCTCTATGCTTATCCATGTGCATTTTTGCATAAAAGCTCCGTATAAATAACGGAGGAGAAAGCTCTCAATGATATCCACGCGTTTTTTAGCATTGCCTTGCGATGTGGACACCTCTGTTTGGCTGTTGGTTTGTGTGGCGAAGAGACGTCAACTTCGCCCTGCTGTTTCCATTTTCCTCGCATCCAGCTCCGGCCTGTCTGTCCTGCTTGTATCCAAGTGTGCTGCCGTGGACGAGGCTACTCGTTCACATTTGTGACTTTGAAGTCCAGATTGGCCTCTTGTGCAATTTAATTAGCCTGACTTGGGTTGCCAAAGTCTTAGCGTAGTCAAGCTCCCCTTGAAGACGCTAAGCTGCATGCATGGCTAACGTTTGTAGTCAAATTTCCATCGGTAATTTTGAAATTTCAGTGATTTTTTGTTCTCCAAGTCTGACTCAAACCAATCAATTCCACACAAGTTCACCATTTTCTACTTTGATGCAATCGAACCAAAGGATAGGGAAAGGCCCACGCTGCAACCATTTAAGTCGCCACAAGCACTAGCATCGAGGCATACTCCTCCTGCTCCAGTGTCAACACGACAGTCAAACAAACACCAAGCCTCTCATTCCCACCTCTCGAGGAGAGCTTTCCCCACCATGGCGTCGCTCACCGCCGCCCTGGCCACGCCGGCGGCCGCTGCCCTCCTCCTCCTCGTCCTCCTCGCCGCCCCCGCCTCCGCCGCCAACTTCACCTGCGCGGTGGCTTCAGGCACCACCTGCAAGTCCGCCATCCTCTACACCTCCCCCAACGCCACCACCTACGGCAACCTCGTCGCCCGCTTCAACACCACCACCCTCCCCGACCTCCTCGGCGCCAACGGCCTCCCCGACGGCACGCTTTCCTCCGCCCCCGTCGCCGCCAATTCCACCGTCAAAATCCCCTTCCGCTGCCGCTGCAACGGCGACGTCGGCCAGTCGGACCGCCTCCCCATCTACGTCGTGCAGCCGCAGGACGGGCTCGACGCCATCGCGCGCAACGTGTTCAACGCCTTCGTCACCTACCAGGAGATCGCCGCCGCGAACAACATCCCCGACCCCAACAAGATAAATGTCAGCCAGACGCTGTGGATTCCGCTGCCCTGCAGCTGCGACAAGGAGGAAGGCTCTAACGTGATGCACCTCGCCTACAGCGTCGGCAAAGGGGAGAACACGTCGGCGATCGCTGCCAAGTACGGGGTGACGGAGTCCACGCTTCTCACCAGAAATAAGATCGACGACCCCACGAAATTGCAGATGGGACAGATTCTAGATGTCCCGCTCCCTGGTACGTGCCTTGCTGTTACTGTTTAGTATGGTTCTTGCAATCTTGTGATCGAGCTCAGAAGTTTTTTGTTTAACAGTGAATTTTCTCAGTAGACTAGTCTTACTAGTACTATAAGAGAAGAAACTTGAATTAGTTAGGCAGGTGTTTAGTTCACTTCAAACTTTCTAAAATTCCATCACATCAAATGTTTGGATATATGCATGGAGCATTAAATATGGACAAAAAAAAAACCAATTGCACAGTTTGCATGTAAATTGCGAGACGAATCTTTTGAGTCTAATTACGCCATGATTTGACAATCTGATGCTATAATAAACATTTGCTAATGACGGATTAATTAGGTTTAATAAATTCGTCTCGCAGTTTATATACGGAATCTATACTTTGTTTTGTTATTAGTCTACGTTTAATACTTCAAATGTGTGTCCGTATACTTCAAGAAAATTTTAGCACACGAACTAAACACGGCCTTACTCGTATTACTACCTCTACATGGTTGACTGGGGAGACTGAAGATTAGCTGTGTTGTTCTGTTAGTTTGCATATTAAACTTAGGTTAGGTATGGTAAATTATTTGCAATATGCTGATAATATATTGCTCGGATTCAGTGGTATTTGCAATGAACTTAGGCTATGGTCCCCTTGCATGATGGAGTTTATCAGAATCAAAATATCTGGTTGTGACTCGGAAAGTTGCTCTCAAGAAAAGATAGCTAGCTGCACATGCTTCGATCGTTGAGAGATTGAGACAACATGACACATAGCTCCACTAGCACATGAGTAGAAAGCCACAAAATTCCATCGCAATGTTGAGGAATTTAAGCTTTAGAGCTTGAATTCCTGCACTCTTTGGACTTGTATAATTAGTTAGCCGTTGCTATCACCGGACAAACTATCTGACTTTGTGGTTTAAAATTACGGAATAAACTACCAATACCAATCCACAAAGTTGACCCTCGCTACTCACAAGGTTTCAAAATATACTATTATAGTACTATCTTAGATGGATCTTGATGTTTACTACTATTCACTTTCTTCGGTAAGAATGTCATATGAAACGAGTTCCTAGACCTAGTACTAACTTCTGGAAAACTGGTGTCCTCAGTGTGCCGTTCATCAATCAGCGATACCTCAGCTGATCACAATCTGATGCTCCTCCCGGATGGCACCTATGGATTCACCGCAGGAAACTGCATCCGCTGCAGCTGCAGTTCAACTACCTACCAGTATGCTCCCCTATTATTTCCATCTCCTTCTAAGTTGTTTCTGATCAAGCAGTAACCAAAGAATTTACATTTCTTTTCACTGTGTCAACCAGGCTAAACTGCACTGCAGTACAGAACAAGGGATGCCCGTCAGTGCCACTGTGCAATGGAACGCTGAAGCTTGGTGAGACGAACGGCACCGGTTGCGGATCAACAACGTGCGCCTACAGTGGTTACTCCAACAGTTCATCGCTCATCATACAAACCAGCCTTGCAACTAATCAGACAACAGCCTGCCAGAGTAAGTTGAGCCCGCAAACCTGTACAAACTCAGAGTCTCTGAGTTTGTTTGAGTTAAAGAAACGGCAGGTTTCTAATAGTTGATTTTGCAGGAGGAGGATCTGGGAGGTCGCAGTTCGCTAGGTCCATGTGGAGCATGTCTGTTATCTCCTTCCACATGGTGTTGATCATTATCTGTTTCCTTTGATGTTGGAGACTACTGCAACTCTAGATGGTACATTTCAAAGAGTTCTCTACGATCTATGATTGTTGTATACGATATATGATTGTTGTCGTAACTTAGATTTTGATGACTGGTTTATCCAGCTTTGAAATTTGAGTTTTGACTCTGTTCTTTAGAGGATGAGTGGCACTTGTACGGCTGCTTGAATAAAACGTCGATGTATTGTATTCGATCTGCATCTGAAAAGGAATATTCATTAGATAGGATTATTCGAAATAAAAAGATCCCACATGTTTTTGTTATAGGCGTTACATGTTCTGGATGGATATATAATGTACCATGCGGAAGTATGAATGGACTTCCCACCTTCCAATCTTCCATCTACACTTCAAGCCTTGCATAAAGCAAAATTGATCTTAGCAAGTCTCAGGCAAATGCTCGAAACTAGTACTAGTTTCTTTCTGATATCATTATTTTTGTTGCGACTTGTTTTTAGTATTGAAGATACTTTAAGCATGACATATTTTACATATTTGCATTAAGTTTCTAAATAAGTTGAATGGTTCAATATCATTTTCAAAAGTCCATGTCATGCATTCACTCCTTTCATTTATATATGACGTTGGATAGTTCACTAAAATGAATTAACCAACTCATATATAAGTGGAGGAGGGTGTGTTTAAAAACGGTGAGGGTATATTCCTCATTTTCCCCGAATAAGAGGGTATATTCTTTTTTATGATTACTTTTAAGTGCATCCTACATGATGCTGCACTTGACTCAGTTTTAACACGGAATTTATGCAACATCCGTGTTGGTCTTCCCAAATACTGTATCATCAGAAAATATCGGAGTAGTCGTGCAGGGCGCTGTCATCTTGGCAGCAAAACCAATCGCAGCTAGTACAATAGTACAAGACTACAACTTGGATTTGCTTTGCATAGGCAGGCTTCCCATGGCCCTGGCCTTCTCCCGGAGCAAGAACTTCTGCGTCTTCCCCGTCGACGTCTTGGGCAGGTCGCCGAACACCACCGTCCTCGGCGCCATGTAACGCGGCAGCCGCGCACGGCAGAACGCGATGATCTCGTGCGCCGTCGCGCTTGCCCCGTCCTTCAGCGTGACGAACGCGCACGCCGTCTCGCCCCAGTGGTCGTCCGGCCTCGCCACCACCGCCGCGTCGAGCACCGCGTGGTGGCCGAACAGCACCGACTCCACCTCGATCGAGCTGATGTTCTCGCCGCCCGATATGATGATGTCCTTGGCGCGATCCTTGAGCTGGATATACCCGTCAGGGTGGCGCACGCCGAGGTCGCCCGTGCGCAGCCACCCGCCGCGCATGGCCTCCTCCGTGGCCGCCGCGTCCTTGTAGTACCCGCTCATGACCGTGTTGCCGCGGAGCATGACCTCGCCGACGGCGCGCCCGTCGGACGGCACGCTCGCCATGGTCACCGGGTCCTTGATGTCGACGTCCTGCAACATCTGGTGCTGCACCCCCTGGAGCGCCTTGATCCGCGCGCGCTCGGCGAGCGGCAGCGCGTCCCACTCGGGTCTCCACACGCACCGCGTCGCCGGCCCGTACGTCTCGGTGAGGCCGTACCCGTGCTGGACGTTGAAACCGAGCTCCTCCATCTTGGCCAGCACCTGCGGAGGCGGCGGCGCGCCGCCCGTCGAGATGAGCACCCTCCTCGGCAGCGGCCTCCGCTCCGACGCCGGCGCGTTCACGATCATGTTGAGCACCGTGGGCGCGCCGCCCATGTTGGTCACGCCGTGGCGCACGATCTGCTCGAAGATGACCTTGGGCACGACGTTCCTGACGCAGATGTTCGTCCCGCCCTGCGCCGCCGTGGCCCACGCCATGCACCACCCGTTGCAGTGGAACATGGGCACGGTCCAGAGGTACACCGGCATGGACGTCATGTCGTTGCAGAGCAGCGCGGCCAGCGAGTTCAGGTACGCGCCGCGGTGGCTGTAGATGACGCCCTTCGGCCTCGACGTCGTCCCCGACGTGTAGTTGAGCGATATCGGGTCGCGCTCGTCGGCCGGCCACCTGATCTCGAAGCCCCGCGGCGCGTCCCTCAGAAGCGCCTCGTACTCTAGCCCGCCACCGTCGCTGCTGCTGCTGTCGCCGGTGTCGGAGATCGCGATGACAAGGGGAAATTTGGCTTTAGCATCGGCGAGCAGCCTCAGGGCGTCGTGGGCGACGGCGAGGAACTGCGATTCGACGAGGAAAACCTTGGCCTCCGAATGTCTGAGAAGGACGGACACCATGGCCGCGTCGTGCCGGGTGTTCAGCGTGCAGAGCACGCCGCCGGCCATCGGCACGCTGAAGTGCAGCTCGTACATCGCCGGAATGTTCGCTGCGATGACGGCGACCTGACCAGCAATTAACCCATGTCTTGTTGAGAGCTGAATTGGCACCAAGTACAAAGCTCATCGAGGCATCAAGCTCTGGTCGATCACTTACCACGTCCCGGCGGCCGACGCCGAGGCGCGCGAGCGCGGACGCCCCAGCGAGGCACCGTTCCCGCGTCTCGCGCCACGAGTACTCCCTGCCGCCAGAGACGACGGCCGTGCGGTCACCGTACACGACGGCGGCGCGCTCCAAGAAGCTCACCGGGGTGAGCGGCGCGTAGTTTGCATCGCTCGGCATACAGCCTTCCATGGCAGCTCGTGTACCAGCAATCGGGATCGATTTGTCACACTAATTAGCCTCTCTGAAGAAGAACCAATTGCAACTAATGCAATCCGATTTGTCCAAAGTGAGTTGGAGGATAATTAAACGGATGACCAACACTAAACCAAAACGTTGTTCTCCATCTGAGTCAGTCTTCTTTCGCGTGCATTAATTAATTGCATACTTGATGTGTGCACTCCGGTTAGATTAAAGACGAAACGCAGGAGGTGTGAGACGCTGAGAATACGTAGTACATCACGGGTCACTCAATGAGTATCATGCTAGTGGAATTATTTTTCGAAAGCACTTCCAGTTGGCGCAATGGAAAAATGCCAAGAGCATTTGATCGAGACAGAGGGACAATATTCAACTATTCAGAGCAAGCTAGAAATGCAGAATTGTGTCAGCGTTATGTACGTTAATGTCGGCCTTTTCAACTGATGAATGCTATTACTACAGGATAATGGAATGGTCGTTGAATTGTCCGTCACTATTGTCTTCGTCTCGCTCCCTTTACATACCTTTTGGATCCCCTCCTAGATATCATCGAGCGATTTGAATTCGGTGTGCACTGATACGAAGCTGCGCTCGTTTCTCACTTCTATCTTCTACTTCTTCATTTTTCACATGCTCTTTTCCTAAGCTCCATCTTCAATTCATGGCTCCAAGGTTACTTTCTACCCTTATCTTATCTCCTACTCTTTTTGCCCCAAAGCTCAATCCAACGCCTTCATTTTTCACATGCTCTTTTCCTAAAGCTCCTTCTTCAATTCGTGGCTCCAAGGTTACCTTCTATCCTTATCTTATCTCCTACTCTTCTTGCCCCAAAGCTCAATCCAAGGCCTTTGTGGGTTTGGGGCGATAAGAGCATCACCAAGAGATACGTATAATCTTTCCCAAAAAATTATTTTTGGGTTTTCTAAACTGAAAATAGGTAGCGAAAAAACTGATATCTCCAAGAGAAATCTAAATTTTATTCCAAAAATTAAAAAGGATCCTTTTGTTAAACTAACATCAGATTCCGTTTTCCTCCCACTCACGTGCGCCCGCGCTCCTCACTGAGAAAAATCTGGCGCGAATGAGAGATTGGGGACGGCAGACGCGCCATCTCTCTCCCTCGAATGAAGAGAGTGAAAGATGCGGGGAGGGGGTTTCCAAAAAAAAAAGGATCCGGATAGGACATCTATTGGAGACTTTTTTTTTCACCAAAATCTAAAAAAATAGGATTGTGGGTGAAGTAAGGGAACTATTGGTGATGCTCTAAGAGAGGCGTCGAAGTAAAAGCTTGCGAGGTGTGGAAGAGGAAGAGATTGCCGACACCCTCTCCATGGAGTTTGCTTTCATTATTGCCTCTATTCTCACTAATTGGTACTAACTCCATCCCAAAATAAGTGCAGCCGTGGATCCGTGTCCAACGTTTGGCCGTCCGTCATAAAAAATTTTCAAATAAGACGAACGTTTAAACGTTGGATATGAACAGGATAAAAACTGCACTTATTTTGGGACGGAGGGAGTAGTGCGCCACTCAGGGGCGGAGCTAGGTAGGAGAGGGGGGGGTGCCCAGGAACCCGGTCAAGAAAACTTTTTAGCTATAGTTCATTTATTTTCACTATATGTGCACCCCTCTCAATTCAAACTTAGACACTTATATAAGTATAAAGTAGAGTAAAACAAGTGAGTGGCACCCCTCTTCATTTCGTTCTAGCTCCGCCCCTGGCGCCACTAGTTCAAAATACATAGTATTGGTAAATATATCTCGTTTAAAGTGAAAAGATCAAGGATAGGGTGGTTCATGGTGAATCTTAGGTAAAAATACCAGCTCCAATATGCAATTTACTGAAAGTAAAATTAATAGGAGCCACATGATGGGCACAATTTTGGTGAAGCCACTAAGATAAATAAGTCATTTGGCCAACATCAAATTTTGCCACAGGGATTGGTGGCAACCTGCCAGCTGACATAGTATAAATTGAAAAACCACTCGATAAATTAATCATTTTTTTTAAAAAAAATCCAAACTTAAACTCAGACGTTCGGTAAATTTTGTTCAAAATTCACAGGTTTTCGAGTGGTAATGACAAAAATCGGCAAAACCCCTCGAATCAGCTAATAATCTTTGGAACTCTGCATACTACGGCATCCCATCCAATGTCCAACAACAGAAATGATATTACAGTTTACTATTGGCAGACTTGGTGAGACTGCCCATGGCCCGGGCCTTCTCCCGGAGCACGAACTTCTGCGTCTTCCCCGTCGACGTCTTGGGCAAATCATCGAACACCACCGTCTTCGGCGCCATGTAATGCGGCAGCCTCTCCCGGCAAAAGCTTATGATCTCGCCTTCCGTGGCGTTGGCGCCATCCTTGAGCTTGACGAACGCGCACGGCGTTTCCCCCCAGTAATCGTCCGGCCTCGCCACCACCGCCGCCTCCAGCACCGCCGGGTGGCTGAAGATCACCGACTCCACCTCGATCGAGCTGATGTTCTCGCCGCCCGATATGATGATGTCCTTGGCCCGGTCCTTGAGCTGGATGTACCCGTCAGGGTGGCGCACGGCGAGGTCCCCGCTGTGCAGCCACCCGCCGGCCATGGATTCCTTCGTCGCGCCGATGTCCTTGTAGTACCCGCTCATCACCGTGTTCCCCCGGAACATCACCTCGCCCACCGTCTGCCCGTCGTACGGCACGTTCTCCATCGTGGCCGAGTTCTTGACGGCGACGTCCTGCACCGCGATGTGATGGAACCCCTGCCGCGCCTTCAGCCGCGCGCGCTCCTCCGCCGGCAACGCGTCCCACTCCGGCATCCACGTGCAGACGGTGGCGGGGCCGTACGTCTCGGTGAGGCCGTAGATGTGGTACAGCACGAAGCCGAGCTCCTCCACGGCGAGCAAGACGCGGGGCGGCGGCGCCGCGCCGCCCGTCATGACGCGCACGGGCCCCGGCAGAGCCCTCCTGTCCGCGGCCGGCGCGTTGGCGATCATGTTGAGCACCGTCGGCGCGCCGCCCATGTGCGTCACCCCGTGCCGCGCGATGCTGTCGAAGATGACCTTCGCCGTGAAGTGGCGGAGGCAGATGTTGGTGCCGCCCTGCATGGCGACGCCCCACGGCAGGTTCCAGCCGTTGCAGTGGAACATGGGCACAGTCCACAGGTACGTCGGCATGGCGGTGATGTCGTACGCGAGGACCGTCGCGATGGTGTTGAGGTAGGCGCCGCGGTGGTTGTACACCACGCCCTTGGGCCGCGACGTCGTGCCGGAGGTGTAGTTGAGCGTGATCGGGTCCATCTCGTCCACCGGCCACCGGATGTCAAACTCCGACGGCGCGTCCCTGACGAGATCCTCGTAGTCCACGCAGCCCGAGTCGCGGGCGCCGGCGCCGTCGTCGGAGATGGTTAGGAGAACCGGAAGGCTCGCGGCGCTGGTTGAGCCGGCGAGGCGCCTCAGAGCGGCTCTCCCAACGTCGAGGAGGTGCGACTCGACGAAGAACACCTTGGCGCCGGAGTGGCTGAGGAGGGTGGAGATCATGGCCGCGTCGTGCCGCGCGTTGAACGTGCACAGGACCGCGCCGGCCATCGGCACGGCGAAGTGCAGCTCGTACATAGCCGGCACGTTTGGGCTCAGGACAGCAACCTGAACATGGGACACACGACAATGTGGGTCATACGCCTGGGCCTAGTTTTCAGACTGACCCATGATTAAATCAGGTCGAAATTATTTCGATCGTTGAGTGGCCTGACCAAGGAACATGAAGAGGTGGAGTGGACTGTGAGTGGGACCTAAAATCCTTACCATTTTCTCCAGAATTCCTATGGATCTCCGAATAACCAATAATTTGCATGGAAGCCACATTACTTCGCAGTTCATACTGAAAGTATAAAAGTGAAAGATCTAAACTGCAGAGAAGGCCATTCGCATGATCGAGAGTTTTCATGACTTCGCTACTATTACTCGGTGTCAGTAGACTGTAGACTCAGATTTATAACTGGCGTTGCAAAAATATAAATAGCGGCAATGCACGAGGATATTAGCAGCAAGGTAAAATTATCCCACTAACTGAAGAAGTATACGCGGCAATGCAGAAGCTTTATCGCTAACTGAATCAAGCTGTTTATTCTCAAAACAAAAAATCAAGCTGTTTACATGCTGATGCATAGAGAGAACATTAATATCAAGAGTACTGATAGGAGAAGATCCGCGAGGACGTGAGGTTATCTAGCTTCAACTATTCATGGGCTCATGGCAAAGATTAGCGGAAATATTACTCGTAAACTATATGTTTAGCATACTTAACAAGTTTTCTACCAAAAACTTTCGGGCCATCGATCTAAGCTGCATCCGCCACTTCCTACCTTGTTGGTTCAAAAGAAGAAACATCTAAGTAGCAAATGCTCGCGCACACGATAAGCTAAAAGAGCTAGCAGCATTGGTGTTCCACTCACCACATCGCCGCGGGCGGCGAGCGCGGCGGCCAAGCGGACGCACCGCCCCCGCGCCTCCCTCCACGTGTACCGCCTCTCCCCGCACACCACCGCGGCGCGGTCGCCGTAGACGGCCGCGGCGCGCTGGATGAAGCTGATCGGCGTCAGCGGCGCGTGGTTCGCCGCGCACCGCACCGTGCCGGCATCCATGTCCAGCACCTCTCCCTCACACAGTCACACTCCACTTAGATCCACCATCCCGCCTCCATCGCCTCGAGTTATCGAGGTGGTACTAAACGAGAGCTGGCCGTGCTCGAGCAGGATTGCTATTGCGGCCGCAGGGTTGGGCCTGCATTGTCTTTGGGGCTTTACTTGCCCTGGTGGGCTTTGATTGGGGCGACCTGGCAAGCTGCAGTGTGAACGAACAGCGGCGACTTGTTTTCAGATGGAAAAAGTCCACTTTGACTCCCTTAAGTAGGCCGAATCTAATACGGACTCCCTTAGATTTGGTGTAAGGGAGTCAGTGTGAATTTTTTTTTCCTTTTCAGATCACCACACTTAATCAAATGTGGATTTGGTGTGGATGAATTCCCTTTTTGCTTCGTACGGCGTTAGGAAGATGCAAAACTAGTTGAACTTGAACACTTGCCTCCTTTTTATTACCCATCCACGGTGTGCTATTTTTTTCTGACGGATTATACCTAAATGAGAAACATCACCTAATTGCGGTGTTTGGCTAATGGGATTAGAAAATGAATTCCCACCAACCAAAAGATATCTTTAAATCTTAACCATTCATTATTCCTCTTCCATTTAATCCTAACCCTATATTCATTTCTCAATCTCAATCCCACCTCCTATTTTCCATTATCCAAACACACCCAATAGGCTAACTACGGTAGAATTTCTTTTTTTGATTTTTTTTAGATAATAGAATCAAATATCCCGGCCTTTACTCAAACGAGCTACAACCAATTATTACATAGTTCACAAAATAGCAAACTCACACAGTGAGTCCAGAACCACATAATGAAAATTTTAAACAAGCCCAAACCAATACTTGATGCTACTAAGATTCATAAAAGAAAGCTTGTACTAGGCCTTAGGCACTGCGCTGAAGTACATAATTGCTGATGGTCTCTACAGAATGAACCAGTCCTAACAAGTTATGATCCTGGCTCAGAAGGAACGCTAGCTTGCTTAACATATGCAAGTCGTTTCGGGGAGAGGGGCAGAAGGAAAAGAGACTCCTAGCTTAAGTATTCTCGCCCTGCTTCAAAAGTACAGGGCGCGCGCTATGCCGCTATGGCTTTGACATAACAAGGACATTACTCCACTATTTACGGAGGTGCTAGGCCACGAGAAAATATATGTGATTGGGCCTTGCACATTACAGAATTTCACTAGATTGGCCCGTTAGATGTAAATGCTAATCGTTAAATCAGGCCGAGATTATTTGGATCATCAAATGGACCGACAAGGATGGGAATGAAGTGGGCTGTGATTGTGAGTTTGTGACCGAGACCTTAAGCTTATCCATCTACGCATCTCCAGAAACTCCCAATGGAGGTCCCCGTGAAACCAATGATTGCAAGCAACATTACGCGTCGCCGAGTTTCATGATTTTGCCACGATTACTCGGTGTCACCGTGTCACGGTGTCAGTACCAATCATGTGACTTCAACACGAGCGTGCGCATGGTACGTAGGCTAAACTAAGGCCCTGTTAAATGGGACTAAAACTTTTAATACCCTATCACATTAAATATTTAGACACTAATTATAAATATTAAATATAGACTATTAATAAAGCACATCCATAATCTTGGACTAATTCGCGAAACGAATCTATTGAATCTAATTAATCCATGATTAGCCTATGTGATGCTACAGTAAACATTCTCTAATTATAGATTAACTAGGCTTAAAAAATTTGTCTCGCAAATTAGCTTTCATTTATATAATTTGTTTTATAAGTAGTCTATATTTAATACTCTAAATTAGTACCTGAATATAGGAACTAAAGTTAAGTCTCTGATCCAAACACCAGCTAAACTGCCTAATCGCCGCATCAAAGCTCGCAGACACGACACGCCACGCCACGATAAGCCAAGACGAAAAGAAAGCAGGAACAGATCAAATCACGGGAAGCTCGTGTTGGTAAGTACTATTTCCACTCACCACATCGCCGCGGGCGACGCCGAAGCGGGCGGCGAGCGCGGCGGCCACGCGGACGCACCGCCGCCGCGCCTCCCTCCACGTGTGCCGCCTCTCCCCGCACACCACCGCGGCGCGGTCGCCGTAGACCGCCGCGGCGCGCTGGATGAAGCTGAGCGGCGTCAGCGGCGCGTAGTTCGCCGCGCACCGCACCGTGCCGGCCTCCATGTCGAGCACCTCCCCTTCGGCCTCCCCCTCCCTTCCCGCGAGGCTGGAGAATAGCAGAGATGCTGCGCTGGATCTGGCAGAAGTAAACGCTCGCTGATGGCGCCATGGCGATAAATTAATCGCGCGGGGGGAGGCGAGATTAGTAGTATAATCCAAGTGAGGAATTGAATAATCTTGGGGAGATTGGTGATGACATGGTGGTGATCCGGTGCTGATGCGGCGAGCTAGCCTACGCAACGCACGGGATGCGGCTCTCATGGTGTGTGACTGTGCCAGTGACGCTGTCATCTTGTATAGCCGTGTCTGTGTCACTGTGTGAGGCTACTGTTCACTCCGGCAGGGACGCAGCGTATGCATCCATATGAGCTGGATTTTTCTGCATCGGCATATCGTCTCTTTTCTTCGATTTTTTTTTGTAAGGAGTACAGAAGCTTTGCCCAGTATATTAAGGTGGTGTTTGGATCACAAGATACTAATTTTGAGTATAAAACATAGACAACTTACAAAACTAATTACATAAATAAGAGCTAATTTACGTGATATTTTTTTAAGCCTAATTAATCTATAATTAGCACATGTTTACTGTAGCATTACATAGGATAATCATAGATTAATTAGGCTCAGTAGATTCGTCTCACGAATTAGTCCAGAGTTATAGAATATGTTTTGTCAATAGTCTACATTTAATATTTTTAATCTGTGTCAAACATCCGATGTGACTGGGACATCCCATCCAAATAAGGTCTAATAGAGAGAGTAAAAGTATATACAGAATTATGTACAGGTCTGAAAAAAAGCCAAAAGACCCCGGAAAAGGGCTTTTCTTCGAATTGGACTATTCTGCATCAGCCTCTCATCTAGACCTTTCTTCTAATGGAATGAATGATAGAGCTTTTTCTGCCGATGAGCTGCGGCTTACCATTTGCAAGCGAATACGACATCCGTTCTATTTTTAAGTGTAACTATGAGTTTTATCTGTTCTATTTTTAAGTGTAACTATGAGTTTTATTTTCCAACTTTGATCGTTCATCTAATATTAAATTATTTTATAATTAATAAAAATTACATTTTAAGTGTAACTATTAGTTTTCGTGTCTAACTTTTATCGTCCATCTAATATAAAATTATTTTATAATAATTAACTTTTTATTGTTATAAGATGATAAAACATGAATAATACTCTATTATTTTATAATAATTAACTTTTTATTGTTATAAGATGATAAAACATGAATAATACTCTATACGTGATTTATATTTTTATTTTTTTAAAAAAAATAAAATAAGACAGATTTAAAATTGAACAAAATATTGTTTTTATTTTTTTTCAAAATTTTTTTAAATACGAAACTCCGTAGTAGGCAAGTGACCACCTCGATGGGAATATTTTAGCTTAATCTCTCGCTTATCCGCTTAGCTTCACCTCATGGTAGTAGCACATAGCACCCGTCAACTTACTTATCAAAGGGCCTGTAAGTAAACAAGAGGGACCAAATTTTAAATTTAGGTAATTGGCAGGGGCCGCGCGAACGCGTACCCCCTCTACCACAAATTATGACGTCCACTCTCCCACTCGGGGAGATGGTAAACCAACGCGCTCACCAAGTGCAATGTGAGCCATTGATCTAGGCCACGGCCCTTCTTGATCGGCCGTCGACCCCGTCCAGGTAAGTATGTTGCAACGACGCACCACTAGCCTCTTATATAGCAGGCGCTCCCATCCCCATCGCCTCGAGTTGTCGAGGTGGTACTAAACGAGACCTGGTCGTGCAGCATTGCAGCTGCCTGGTTGGGTCTGCATTGTATTGGGCCTAATTGCTGTGGTGGGCTTTGAGCCTTTCATTGGCGCGGCCTACTTGGCAAGCCGGAGTGTGTACAACGGCGACTTGTTGCTTTCTGGTCACGAGCACTTCAGCATCAGATGGATTCGGTGTCCCGAGTGGAATTGTCAAATCGATGATTTTAGATTCCTCCTTTGCTACATACGGCGTTAGAACGCCAGTCATCACACAAAACCAGTTGAATTTAACAATTGCCTCCTTTTTTATTATCCCATCCAGATGTAACATTTTTTTTCTGATGGGTTAGTACATCAAAAGAAAAACATCTTTACCTAATAGGCTAGTACTGTAGAATATACTTCACGCTACTGATTCAGAAAAGAAAGCTTGCACTAAGTCTTAAGCACTACGCTGATGCTACTGGGATTCAAAAAAGAAAGCTTGTATTCTGAAGTACATAGTTGCTGCTGGTCTCTACTACCAGTAGCAACTATGTACTGGTCTCCACTACCAGTACATAGTCCTTACAAAGTAACCAGAAAAATAAACATCACATTATTACAGCGGTCCAAAGGCCACGAGAAAATATAACTGGGGAGCTTCAGGACCATGGGTACCTGGGCAAAAAAGAGAAGCACCCTTGCATAATCAGATACCCAGTGCTGTCCTCTGGGAAGAAATGTCGAAACATATGCTATTCCTTTGAACTGCCAGCCAAACATCATCGAACCTTTTTTTACTTCACAACACTTCCTGGAAAGAGAACATGGATTCAGACAGGGTCCTAGAATTACTGTGCATCAAACACAACCACATTTCTTTTCACAGGAAGGTGTAGATACTAATAAGGGTGTCAACGACTAATCCGCAAAACCCACTTTTAGGCCAAAATAAGCCACTTACCCGCTTAGTTTGACCTATAAGTGGGTTCACGGGTTAGCCACTTACACCCTTAGGTATATGATTGATGGGTTCAAAATTGCTTATTTATGTACGGGTGAGTTGTTCTAGAAATGCAGGAAGTCTTTGTAAAATCACATGTTATAAAATGGACAAAAGGCAATGTGTATTACTGACAATAGAAAACTAACCATTAGCTTTGTCATCTGAAAAACTAACGGCAACATGCTCAAAATAATCTCTTCTGGCATCTGGCGTTTAATCAGAAAAAAATGTTAGCATATGGTTAACATGTAGCTAAAAGTTAACTTGAAAACATTGGATCACAAAAATTTCACCCACATACTTACCATGTTTCATAGTTAAAGAAGGGTCTTCCTTATCTTTATACCCAACTACCTTTGCAGGGTTTCCTACTGCCATACTTTAAACATTATATATAAAAAAAAAGGTCAGATCAATTTGACTGAAATACTATTGTACTCATCAAAATAAAAATGATGTAAAAACATGCAGCAAAAAAAAGGCACACGTGTAAAATAAATAAGCATTTCATTACAAAATACATATTACAGCGATCACTTGGGGATTTGACTATGTAAAGGCCTGCTGGCATAATTTGCATTATTTTTCAGTGCAAGACAATAAGACACAACTGAAGGACTCCTTAACCCAGGAAATATCGAAGAGCCTTTCCTAGGGGGTATGCCAAAAGTGAAAGGGAATATATAATCTGCTGAGCACAAGAGAAAGATTCTTCACCAGGCACTGGTATTTTGGTTGATATATTCTTAGATTAGTCTGGGATGAACATAACCAGGTGTCACTAAATCAAGCACCTTAATGGGAAACATGATGCCATGAGCCCATGAGAAAAAAAATAATATCTCCATTAAAATCCAAATACTTAAAATTTACACTACAAAAATCAGGCACCTTTTTTTTATATCCGATATAATGAAGTTCCTAGTCCAAAATTACTTTATCATGATCATGTTATCCCCCCGCCCACCCCGGCCTGCCCGCCTCCCCTGATTTTGCTCTCTTTACAAGGAAACCACATTGCAAGAACCAGAAAGGTCATATCTGTAAATGATTGTTTCTACAAATTTGACATTGCAGCAAACACTATTTAAAAAATATTAATAGGCTAGCTCCTAACCTGTGGGGAGGTACATCCTTTAAAACAAGGGAACCAGCAGCAATCATGGCACCTTCGCCTACGTTTATGTTGCCGAGGATAGTAGCACCAGCTCCAAGAAGAGCCCCCTGACCAATCTTGGGGTGTCTATCTCCATTTTCCTTGCCAGTACCACCAAGTGTAACACCCTGTAGGAAAAGTCTGAGTTTCGGTATCCAAACAATATCATCCATATCGAAGTCATTGTTGTTATAAACCTATCTCGGCACATTGTAGTGTATATATGTTTTACCAACTCATTAGATGTATAATCAGCACACCTGTTGTAGTGCTCAAAACTAAAATTGCATCTAGAAGTACTGCTTTATTTTGAATTTTGCAGCTAGCAAAAACTGAGTTATGCTGGGCACCTGCATTAATGAAACCCAGTTTCCAACAATGGCAGTTTCACCAATAACTAGACCCGTTCCATGATCCAACAATATTCCCTCTCCAATTCTGGCCGCTGCAGATTTAGTAATAAAGAATGTAAGGAAGATAAAGTGGGAAAAAAGGGAACATGATAAGGCATAAAAGATAAACCACAAATGTTCATAACTTCACTGTTCAAAAATCAAATTTTAAAAGCAATATAAAAAGAACCAACAATTATCAACTAGAAGAGTGACATAAAATTGTCCTGCCAAAGATGATAAAACAGGCTAAATATCGCATATCACCATACAACACTTGAATGTTAAACACACTAGCAGACCAGGAAAATGCAAATATACATCATTACAGAACAATCATATACCTGGGTGTATATCCACTGCAAAAACCTGAAAGGAATATGATACCAAATGTTACTGAAACAGAACTATTTGCTAAAGCAATGTAAAAATATGCTTCATAAAGAAATCAGTGTTCACCTCACTGATACGGCTCTGCAGTGCCAATGCCAGAACTTTACGACCTTGATTCCATAATACATGAGCTATCCTATAGGATTGCACGGAATGGTAACCCTGAAGTGGTTCACAAGCAACATTAGAGTTCTTCATATATGTTGATATTGTGTTTTCTTTGTAGCGCAGAGGGCTCTTATTACACATAAGGCTGAATCGAAGTATCTAGCAAATACATACCTTGAGGTACAACAATGCCCAACTGTATTGTGCACAGGCAGGATCTCTGTCTTTAAAGGCCTGAATCAGCAGAGCGATTTTATAGTTGTCAAGAGATCAATGGGATAATACAGAATGAAGCTTCATGCAAACACAATTACACAAACATGGTACATCCACAGAATAATACTATAACAATGCTCACCTGAGCATCAAGGCGAATAGAACGGCGTATATCTTTGTTGTTCATCATAACATCATTGAAAATGTCTATTAACTGAGTTGCAAGCAATGTTGGATCTTCGAGCCTGTTTGCAAGGACGAAACTCAACGCCCTCTCGAGACAGTCATGAGATAGTACGCTGGCGTACAAGAAGCTACTTAAAATAGGTTCCTTCTCTGCCTGTGAACAGTATAAGAGGCAACAATATAAAACTAAAGCTCTATCATAAATAAAAAACCATAAAGTCATATTTAACCACGTATGATGTAGCTCATGTTTAAAACTCATTCGCATGCAACTGGAGCTTGGTTTTATTGCTTGGTCTTTTATTAAAAAGAAACTAAACTTTCACACAGTCACTGATATGCTTCCGAACCTGCGATATTGGCCTTCAGTTCTCCACTAATCAGATAAATTAGCTATAATAAACTACTTGCCTCTTCACTCCTAGTTTTTAACTGGAGTACCATTTTTGCCTCCTGAATTACTTGGCTACACTGAACTGGCAACTACTCCTACACAATAGTAACTGATTCAGGAGAACAAAATATACTAATAACATTTTTTTTTCTCACAAGGGTCAAGGCAACTAAATTTTAATTTTAAAAAAACATTACTCAATTCATGCTATTTCCCAACTGCGCTTAACTCACTCAACACAAGTGAAAGCAGAAGACAATATAGCGAAGTGCTAACTCAGAAGAACAAGTGAACTAGCATTTCTAACCCCTCAAACCCAAATCGAGCCGAAAGAACTCTCTGGACCTAAGAACATGCAGAACTTCAATTAATCCAAACACGACCACCAAAAAAAATCGTATTTTTTCCTCGTTCCAACCCAAAATTCAGAGTCTGTCTGGCACAGTAGCAGAAAAGCCGCGATCAAATCAGAAGGATAAAAGAAGAGGTCCGATCAATCCGCGAGAGCGATCTCGTGAGAGTACTCACCTCAGACTTGGCCTCCGACTTGACGGCCTCCCATATGGGGTCCCCGGCGGCGTCGACTATGCCCCGCGCCGCCGCGGCGGAGCTGGCCCGCGAGCTCCCCATCACGTAGATGGGGAACATGGTCTCCGACCGGCTCCTCCACTCCCCCGCGCACGATCCGCAGCCACCGCCGCCGCCGCCGCCACCCTGCGCGAGCCTCCCTCTCCCCCTCCCCGCCGCCTCGCCGCCGTGGTCCTCCACCTTCTCGAGCACCAGGCACCCGCACGACGTCATGGGTGCCCCCCAAGGGGAGGGGGCTTCTCCCTCGCGGCGGTTGTCGGCCGGCCCGACGCGGCGAGTCGCCGGCGCGCGCGCCGCGGAAGAGGAGCGAGCGAGAGAGGAGAGGGAAGGGGACGAGAGCGAATCAGCGAACGAAAACCAAAACGGCGAGTGCGAAAGAAGCGGTTGGGGAGCGACGGGGTTATTTTACGGAACTGACGGCGTCACCGCGCGTCTGGGGATGCGCGCCCGAGACGAGAGGAGACGAGACGACGAGAGGCCCCACCCTTGGCGGCTTGCGCGGCGGCGGCGCGAGGAAGGGATTTTGCGGCGAGGTGTGGGGGACCAGAGGGTGGTCTGGTGCTGGAACGGCAGCCACGGCTTTTTCGGTTTGCGCCTTTCGGCTCGATGGCTACCACTATCCCCGCGACCCCGCCCCGCGGCGCGGGGGGGAAAGGGGATCCAGACAAATCGTACGGCTCGCGGCGCCCGCGCGGCCGGGTGGGTGGATGGGTGGACGGGGCCCGGGACGTGTGTGTGTGTGGTGCCGTGCGTGCGTGCGCGCGCGCGCCCAGGTCGCGTAGGTCGCGTGTGCCGCCATCGTGTGCGCCGCGCGATGGTGGGCAGCGGGATGCGCCCCCTGTGCCGCGCCGGTTGACACGAAAGCCTTGGGTGTGTGTGGTGCCGTGCGTGCGGTCGCATGTGCGCGTGCGCCATCGTGCCGCGCCGGGCGACGGGTGGGCGGGTCTGTGCAGGAAGCGTGGCCTGGTCGACACGAACTCACGAAGCTTTGGTGTTTTTCTGTATAAAGCAGGTGACGCCGCCGGATAATCGCCAACAACAGTGTTACAGTGTACTGGAGTAGAACGGAGGATGTGATGGGCATTACTGTCATCGTGTCGCTGACGCGTGACATGTTGTCAACTTCCTCTTTTCGGCTGTGTTTAGATGGATTCAAACTTCCGTCATTTTCTATCACATCAATATGTCATACACATAATAACTTTCAGTCACATCATTTCTAATTTCAACCAAAATCTAAATTTTGCGCTCAACTAACACAGCCTTCATCTACTAGGGTGGTGTGGACGGGAAATTTAACTATTTGCCACTCTTACGAGTGTCAACTCTCCATATGCCACTATTAGATTTGGCCTAACATATTTACCACTAGAGAGAGATTACGCCCTAATTTTTTGCCACTTTCGTTGGGTTGGAGCACCACATCAGCATGCCAGCATGGACCGGCCTAGTGAAATGACAATTTTACCCCTCCATTCTCAAGTGGTTAATAGCCAACATAATACAATTAAATCAACTACGCACACATGAATAAATGATAAAACATAATAACTTGAGAACAACTCAACACATAACATACTGCATCATTAACACACATGCGCAACAAAAATCAATTTTTATCCCATAATAACTTCTTCATCGTTAGAAATAGTACTACCAAGTTCATAACCACTATCAAGTTCAGAGTTACTGTGAAGGCCATACATAACAAGTTACATGCCATTACGCAAGGCCATACATCATTACAAAAGCACAATAATAGAAATAGCAACATCAGGCCAGGCCATACACTTAAGTTCGTTAGGCCATACACTTAAGATATTCACACCACATAGCAAAATATGCCATACCAAAGTGCACATATCATCGCACATTACTTGCAATTAGTTTTTCCAAAATATCATGCCATAGTAGACCACAAATAACCAATTTCACTAGCAGGTTGACAAATTTCAATCCAAAAGTTTAGGTGGTGTTGCACTTTTCTTCTTGCTTGCGAGCTTTTTTCTGGGTGTAAGCTTCTTGGGTGGCTCCACTATAGCTGGAGCTACTTGAGAGCTTTGGTCAAGCTCCAATGCCAACCTCCTGGTGTTTGTGATGGTGTAAATAATAAAAGAAGTTTAGTTCAGTGTATAATAAGTAATGAAAGCTAGAGAAAAATGAAAAGAGCATAATGGTGCTTACCTCCTAGTGACTGGTCCAGGGCTGCTTGTTTGTGATGGCTGCACTTGTGTTTCTGCAGCTCCTTCTCTAGCTGTAACTGCTCTTGTTCTTGGTGTAGTTACTTGTTCATCACTAACACCCTTTGATTTCTTCCTTCCCACCTTTGTTGTTGTTTTCTTGTTCCTCTTCCTGCCAAAAGAAAAACAGTTAGCATATAACAGCAAGAAAATGAATAATAATTGAGATGAAAATACAGCACACCTCTTTTTGGTGCCAGTTAGTTCACATCTAGCACTTCCCTTCCTGTGTCCAAAGACACCACATTCTGGACACTTAATTTGCCTTGTAGCCTTCCCCTTGCCCTTCTCAAGAGCAGATGGGATCCTATTCTTCCTTTGCCTACCCACTTTTCTTTTCTTGGACACAGGAGCAAGAAGCTTGAATTCTTTCTCAACTTGAGGCCATTGCTTCTTGTCTGTAATGTTAGGGATGGTTGATGCATATGCTGCCTGAAATCTGAGCACAGAGAAAGCCTTATCAACATATTTCTCCATATTTGGTTGCCTCACGGTTGTGATGACTGCCAATGCATGTTGGCAAGGTTTCCCAGTAACTTGCCATTCCCTGCAGGTGCAAGTGCACTTGTCAAGGTACACCACATGCCTTGTTAGCTCCTCATCATTATGTATCTCTGTAACCTCAGCTTGGTAAGGATCACCCTTAGTGACCTTTAGATGGCCTAACCCCTTTGAGGCTGCATTCAACTGGTGAATCACAACAGGAAGAATCACTCCATTGAGGGCTGTAGAGATCCTCCTCCTCTTCTCAAAAAGAATCAAGGTTTTCTCCCTAATTGCATCAGCAAGAGCATCAATAGGCAAGTCCTTCAAACCTTTGATCCAAGCATTCCATGACTCTGCCAAGTTATTGTTGATATATTCACACTTACTCTGACATGAAAACTTGCTTCTAGCCCACAGTAGGTTGTGATGTTCGTCAAGCCATGGCTTGACATCTGAGCTATATTCAAACACTTCATCCATCCACATTTGATGCTTCTGAGGCATGTATGTCCTAGCTGCAGGCCACATCTTTTTCCCATATATGTTCCCATGAAACAATTTCTTCATATTCTCCATCAAGTGCCTAAAGCACTCTCTTTGTTCAGCCCATGGGAAAACTTTTTTTACAGCAGTTTCTAGGCCTTTGCAAGCATCAGTATGCACAACTAAATTCTCTACTGGCCCTATTGAATTACCTAATTGCTCCATGAACCAAACCCAATTATCTTTGGTCTCTGAATCAAAAAGACCAAAAGCCAATGGAAACATCCAATTATGCCCATCTATTGCATTGGCTGCAGGCATGTGTCCATTCCACATTCCATTGAGAGCAGTAGAATCTATACTAATGTATGGCCTACAGCCCTCTAAGAATCCATCTATGCAAGCTTTGAAAGCACAAAAGAATCTGTTAAAGTGAACCTTATCTCCAACTCTAACTATGTCAATCTCAACTACACTACCAGGGGATCTCATTTCTATCTCAGCCTTGAACCTATACAACCAATCAAATGAATCATCAAACTTTCCAAATAACTTATCTTTAGCCCTCTGCAAACCATACCACGTTGTCTGATAGCCTATGGTGGTCTTGTATGTCTCCTGTAGCTTACCTTGAAGTTCCTTTGCACCCATGTCTTTCTTCTTCTTCAAAAATGGAATAGCCCTTTCAGCCACCCAAGCTTGAGATGCCATCTTCCCAAGAACTCTGCTTCTTGAAGCACAATGATGATCCTCCTCATTTATTTGGATCTGCACAAGTAAACCATATTAGCAACTTATTAGGTAAACAAAATCAATGCATACAGCATAATGTACAATTTAACAACAATTAAATAGTTAGTATAATACCCTGACACTTTTATCAGCCTGTGTCTTTGCTCTGATTTTCCATGGGCAACCATTTGCAGAACACTTTCCTCGAAATCTATCTGGATCAGATTTTTCAGTCTCAAGCTCAAACTCACTAACAATTGCATGCTGTTTCACTGCCATTCTGAACTCATTCATTGATGGATACTTTGTCCCTACTTCCATTGGTGGATCATCCCTATCCCAAACAAGTTCTGGGTCAGCAGGTACCTCATCACTAACTACAATGGCTGCATCTATCATATCTTGTTGAATCTCAATTGGAATAACAGGGAGTGCAGCTTCTTCTTGTATTGCTGTTGCTGCTGCTCTCTCATCTGTTTTTTTGAAACCCATAGCATCAAATAGTTCATCCTCATCCAACAATGCATGAGCATCACCATCTAAGCCATCCAAAATGATTGCCAACTTACTCCAGTCCACAAGAGCAGCTGAGTCTTCTACATTTGGTGCATGGTTACAAGTGTCACCAGTATCTTCTTCATTGGTCATTTGAACTGGAGAGCAAATATCAATTGAATCTGAATTTATCACACCACATCTAGCAATTGACTGACCAGTTGGTTTTGCACTTATCACACTACCTTCAGCAATTGATGGAACCCCAAGATCTACACTTAAAACACTAGTGACAACTTGAGTTGTTGACTCAACTCGATCTACATAGCTTTCAGCAGGCTTGTATCCCTTTTTAGTAACCACTTCTACCCCAAGATATACCACTTTCTCTTTCCACCCAGACTGAAACCACTTCTCAAACTGTTCATTGTTGGTTACCTTCCATTCAGTCCCACTATCAAAGTCTAATCCCCACACTACAATTTCTTGGCTAGGCCCCCATATTACCTTGCTAGTCATATCATCACAGAATTTATCTAAACTATAACCTTTGCATTTATCAACCCACCAATCATGCTCTTGCTCTGACATTGATAGCAATCCATACTCTAAGTTTGCTACATATGAAGCACATTTAACAACAACTCTAACAGCATTGCCAGGATCAATCCTGACAAAAAAAATGGAGCCAGGATCAATTCTAACAGCATGCTGCACACCTCACACAAAGTCAAGAGAAGGGGAATACAGAGAAGGGGAATGAATTTACCAAGGAGGACACTCCGAGGGCTTCATCACGATCAGATCCACTTCACCTCCGCCAGCTATACGTCCCGGATGACCGGCCGATGCGTTGGCGTCGCGTGCAGGCGCGGTGGAGGGGAGGAGCTAGCGGGGGGACTCGCCCTGCCGCTGCCGGCTGGGTCGTGAGAGCCGGCCGCGACGCAGTGGCGTCAGGGCCGGCAGCGGGGCGGCCGCGTGAGGCTCCCGCCGGCCGCGACGGGACTCGCTCTGCGTCACGCAGTAGCGGCCTCGCCGGCCGGCCGGCGCGTGTGGGTTCCAGGCGGCGGCGGCAGTAGGGTTCAGGCGGCGGCGCCAATAGGGATCCAGGCGGCGGCGGAGGCGGCGGGGGTTTCAAGCGCAGCGGCGGCGGCGGTAGAGTTTCAGGGCGGCGACGGTAGGGTTTGAGCAGCTGTGGTCGAGAGAAAGAGATGGATGCCGATGCGTTTCTGTTTCCCCCTGTTTTCTCGTTTCTGCACAAGGGCACAAAGGTAATTTCGCCAGGCCAGTCCACATTGGCATGATGATGTGGCGCTCCAACTCAGCGAAAGTGGCAAAAAATTAGGATGTAATCTCTCTCTAGTGGCAAATATGTTAGGCCAAATCTAATAGTGGCATATGGAGAGTTGGCACTCATAAGAGTGGCAAATAGTTAAATTTCCCGGTGTGGACCGTGTGGTGTGGATACTCTCGTCAGTCATGGCAAGTTTTCCCTTCGGATGCGACTGGTCAATTGGTCATGCCACGCATGAAATTCGCGCACCAGTGTCAATCCTGTTCCTGAGGTCAGCAATCAAAAATTATTGACCAAAGAAGATCCTACTTCCTAGGGTAGTTTATTTTCGGATTGGTTATTCAAGTTTATCTTTAACAGCATATACAATAGCAGAGTATAAACCAGCTGCAAACATATTTTAAGAAGATAAATGTGGAGAGAGAAGTGAATCGGGCTACAGATTTGTAGCCAGCTGTAGCACGGACTCCAAAACGTAGTGTGTGTATAACAGGTAGGATCAGATATTAATAAGCTATTAGATTAGCTATATATGAATTGGAGCTAGTACTTGGCTATAATATTAAACTTGCTCTAAGGGTCACTTTCAAACCGCAAATGAAAATGGCTACACCGTAGCTTCCTATAATAACGTTTCCCAAACTGTAGGTCCGTTTGATATAACTCTAACATTTAAAACTAACTCCAAAAGTCAAATCGTACATGAAGCAGCCTAAACTTAGCTTCACTCCTAGTTAATTTTACGAAAGCGCTTCAGTCAACTCTATTCCCATTTTAGTTGGAGCTGAAATGTTTTACCGGGCTTCATCTCCAGAAAAGATGGAGCTCTAGCTGGAACCGTGCCCAACAGATCATACTTAACAGCATATTCCGTAAAATTTTTTATATAATATTTTTTAAAACAAATAAATAAGTTAGTTTTTAAATTTATAATAGCTAATACTTAATTAATAATCACTCCGTTTCTAAATATTTGACGTTATCGACTTTTTTAAATATGTTTACCGTTCGTCTTATTAAAAAATTAAGTAATTATTAGTTTTTTCCTATCATTTGATTTATTGTTAAATATACTTTTATATATACATATAGTTGTATATATTTCACAAAAGTTTTAGTTATTATAAAATTAAACAATATATTTATTTGATATTTTAAACCACGTAGAAAATTTTCACATGAAACATAAGTTTAAAAACGTGCTAATCAAAATCGTGATGAAATCGGTATGATAACAAGAAAAGAACAATATTACTACTCCTTCCATCCCTAAGGGCGTTCACAGTGTGTCGTCGTGGCTTCTGCCTCGACTCACTACATCGGAGATTCCATGCCACGCATGCATTTGGCGTAGCCAAGTGAAGACCGCGGAGCCAACTTTGGGCACGCGTTCTGTAACGGCCCGCCTCTCTCAGGCCGGACCCACTTACATCTAGCTGCTCTTATATGTTCACCACATCGGAGATTCCATGCCACGCATGCATTTGGCGTAGCCAAGTGAAGACCGCGGAGCCAACTTTGGGCACGCGTTCTGTAACAGCCCGCCTCTCTCAGGCCGGACCCACTTACATCTAGCTGCTCTTATATGTGTCGTCGTGGCTTCTGCCTCAACTCACCACATCGGAGATTCCATGCCACGCATGCATTTGGCGTAGCCAAGTGAAGACCGCGGAGCCAACTTTGGGCACGCGTTCTGTAACGGCCCGCCTCTCCCAGGCCGGACCCACTTACATCTAGCTGCTCTTATATGTCATAGACTATTGAAGACCACGGAGCTAACTTTGGGCACGCGTTCTGTAACGGCCCGCCTCTCCCAGGCCGGACCCACTTACATCTAACTGCTCTTATATGTCATAGACCGCCTCTCCCAGGCCGGACCCACTTACATCTAGCTGCTCTTATATGTCATAGACTGCCCTCACAGATCAACACAAGTCTTTTCTGCACACTTTGTCCTCACTCGTGTGCACTCAGGAAGAATTTCCTGATTGGTTACCCATCCCGAAATTGCTCCAGGCCAAGTATGCTTAACCTCAGAGTTCTTTCGAGATCGGCTTCTGGAAAATAAGTTGCAACTTGTTGATATGAGTATTCTATTAATCCTATTAAGCCCTGGCTCGGGATATCATACGTTCTTCCTAGGCTTGGCAGGCATGCGTCAGAGCGAGAGGTGAGGAAAGACGAGGAACGGGATGCACGACGTGTTGGGAGAGGGCATGGCCCCGTGCTTCATCGCCCCCAAAGATTGCGCTAGACAGATCAAGCGAGGTCGACGGTGCAGCGTCGACGTCCTGGAGAGAAGAGAAGGCAGCGGCGGTGGAAGAGGAGGCGGCGAAGGAAAAGGCGGCAGTGAATTTGGCGCCTAACCTCGTCGTCGTCCTCGTTCCGCGCCGTCGGTGGGGTGGGTGGAGGTCGACGGCCGCAGTGGGAGGAGAGGAGGGGGCAGGCCCGCGGGGAATCGTCGTGCGCCGCCATCCCTCTCCCCGTGGCGGTCCTCGGCTCCGCGACGCCGCCACCAGATCGGGCGAGCTCGGCAACGACATCGATGGCGGCTTCCGGCCCCGGAGACGGTGGCTTCCTGCCCGCCACCGTCGCCGCTTGGCCTCCTCGACCCTTCCGCCGTTCGTCGCCCGCCTTGTTGAGTAGAGGGGAGAAAGAGAGGGGGGAAAGGCACGTCTCTTGAGGAGAGAGGAAGGAAAAGCTTGGGGAGAGAGAGGAAAAGTTGTTTCACATCGACCCTACTCAAGGCTACTTACACTGGAGTATGAGGTTTGTAAGGTTCTTTGTCTATGTGGCATACGAGGAACATTAAAAATCGATGACATACAGTAAACGTCCTAGATGATACTAGTAATCTGCCCGTGCTAACGCTACGGAAATATTTAATAATACAAATCAAACAACCAAAATAAGATATATGTTTTGCCAAGCATATAATGAGATAGAATTTATAGTAACGTGCATGCGTACAACACATTATTTACAATATGTATAAGAAAAATAATTACATTCAAGATGTAAAAATAAGATATAGGACAAAGCGAATTCATACTTTAATTACATTTCTGAGTTCAATTGTAAACAACATACATCAAATTTTGAAAATGTTTCCTACTTAAGGAAAACAAACTTCACAAAAAGATTTACCATGATACATCTTGATTTGTCATGTAAATCATCACTTTTTGCCATATCCATGCACATGGGCCAAATTAATTAAACTAAGGTTTTCCTTGCCATGGAGCTTGTGAAGCGCATAAGCACAATTAGATCACAAGGAACTACTTCACAATGCGGCTCAATAGACAATAACATACTCCCTCCGTTTCACAATGTAAGTCATTCTAGCATTTCCCACATTCATATTGATGTTAATGAATCTAGATAGATATATCTATTTAGATATGAATGTGGGAAATGCTAGAATGACTTACATTGTGAAACGGAGAAAGTATATGACAAACGCCGGTGCCCAGGGTATTCCGGCTAGCTCCACAGGGTGGTGGGCTAGAAGCCTCACCACTTCTAAGTATTTGATATTAGGTCCTACCCTAATATCCGCATCTTTTTGACAATAAGATATCAAAGCCATAATATTCGCGTCTTTTGACAATAACATATCAAAGGCAGCTTTGCCGGTGCTTCATCGCTATGCTCTCCCATCAACTCCATTCATCGCAGACATAACTTCGTTATCCATGAGCTTTACAGTATACAATAAATAGGATATAGATTCCAAAATACTAAGCATGAGAACCCCATCATATAAATGACACCAAAATCTTAGTATATCAAATAAGTGTCAACTGTGCCAATTCGAACAGCTTCTCCATGGTCTCACCAGTCGCACACTGCATTGAGTAATCCAGAGATATGCCTTAATACTTTCTGTCAACCAACAAGTACGTTAGCAATGAAAGTAGAAACTCACACAAGCAACAGCAGGAATTTAAACCCTTACATTGTCATTTCCTAGCAGCGCTCGACATCATCCATCAGATCATGCATGTTTTTTTTTTCTCTAAATCGGACCAATGTAAGCCTGCTCCTCCCATGTGTTGCAAAATGCCAAACCATAGTGAGCCTGAAGTCCATATTATCCATTTACTTTGATATCTGAAATCACCATGCCAGGGTTTTGAATCAAATTAACATATTAGAATCATGTGAATTAAGCCAGGGACTCCATGCAAGAGGTAATGGTTAAACCGGCAAGAGTTAAAATATTTTGATTAACAGATGACTTTAGCTAATTGTGACAAAGAATGACATAAAACAAATATCAATTTTTGATTTCTTTCATGATATTGAAGTATATTAATTGAAGGGATGATATATATTTACAGGACACTTAGGGCTTGATCGGCAAGCATAGATTTCTCAGGGGAGATTCCCTCCCACCACCCAATTGCCCTCCACTGTGGGATTGTGATTGTTTGGATAACAGGGAGAGGCGGGGATATTGTCTCACATCAAATTCAGAATTTACATAGGACTCATGCATTATAGAAGTCTGGCCAAAGTTTCATTATCCTCAAATTACAGAAATAATTTGCAACGGAAAATAAAATGCATGGTATTAAGTAATCATGGTGGCTAGACCCTTCCAATAATCGTTGACTGTTGTTGGTCACAATTGAGCTGCCGCTAGCCCCAAGCATTATGCCCATTCGAACCATTTTCATGTTATTATGGTTAGACTAATGTATATGCTGCCATAGATGCCATTGCGTGCAGCTATGAAAAAGCTCTGTAACCAAATATCAACTAAATAATCAATGCAGCAAATTAAACTGTGGAAGAGATTAATCATCACCTAGAACCAAACCTGTTAGAGATTAATTGATCGGGAGGGAGGCGAGGAGCCGTTGGATTGTCGTCATCAGAAACTCTATACTCTATAGAAGCACTCCAAAAATATTCAAATCTTATCGGAAAGCACTCCAAAACTTCCGTGTTCATATCCCTATGTAAGGACCACAGAAAAGTGCAGTTGTTGACTCTGCTCTCCTAAAAATCCCACTTTACTTCAACTTCCTTTTTCAAAGTGGCTAGAAGGTTAAATCCAGGCACCTCAAAAGAAATTAACCAATACATGAGTTCTAATAAAAGGATTAGGTTGTGGTCACAGTAGTAATCTGACTGTGAGAAATGAGTCATGCAAAAAAGGATGAAGGATTAGTGCTAAAACATGGCAATAATAAGGCAGCACTAACCTGAGAAATATCAAGAGCCTTTCTTCCACTTCATCAGAAAAAGGATTGGTGTAACAATTTTATGGGGAATATTGTCGATAGGAAACAACTTACTAAAATTCTGCATGAAAAAAATTTAGTTCCTTTCCATCAATTTGTTTAGAAGAAGCATATATATATTAGTCAAAGTAGGGCAATACCTTTCAGAAAATACGAAAAGTTCAAACCTTTTTTTTTTCGCCAATGCCAAAAGGTTCAAACCTGTAGGAAAGGCAAAAACATGAGAAGGATTCACATAGTATTGTGGTAAAAATTGTGCTCATCCTGCATCAGGGCGTCCACCATCGTATAGAGAGTATAGTAGCTGGAACAACTATTACCTTAAATACATATGCAGCAAGCCACCACGAACAAGTTTGATTATTTTGTTTGAAGTCATTCCACAAACACTTCCGAAGCACTTCTTGGTACTGTTGCAGATGCAGTGATGCAAACAATCATCTCGGACTTATTTGGGCTAGGGAAAGAGTCCAAGCTGTGCACTGATTTTTATCTCGTGTTCTAATCAAAACAAATGAAAAACTGAGCCATGCTCGGGCCAAGACAATGAAGATATACCAATCAATCAGGGAGCAGCAAATCGAAATGCTCACATGTGTTACTTGCCTCCATGTGTTTTGGCCGCCGTAGGTGGACACCTCCCATTCTTGGATGGCTGCAAGCTCGTCCGTTCCGGTTGTCACGTCGGCGCTGGGAGTCTTGCCGGCGACCGTGGTGGCAGGAGACTGAGCGAGTGGGCGGCCATCTGGCTGCGTACAACCAAAGGGTTCAGGGACAGCCGTCGGTCGAGGTGAATCTGGGATGGCCGCCGGTGAAGGCGATCCGATCTGGAGGGAGGCGCGATAGAAAGAGGAGGGAGGGCGCGGTGATTTTACTGGGGGAGGGGAGGGGAGGCGAGGTCGGATCGGGAGGGAGGTGGGGAGCCGTTGGATCGACGTCATCAGATGATTTTCGATCGTTGGATGTGTCACACGATTAATAAGTAAAACCATTTATTTAATTATAGGGTAGATTTTGGTTGGAGTAAAACATAGCCATCCATATCCTCCCACCGTCGACTCCGCGAGTGCTCACAGTCCACCAAACAGCAACCCACCGAAAATAAATCGCGAATATCCGCAGCTGCTTTGCATCTGTGGCGCGCCGCGCTGCGTCAGATTTCTCCTCTTCGGTTCCCCTCGCCAACGTGTCCCACCACCCACCGTCTATTTTGTCCCCTCTAAAACCCTCCCTTTCCCCCGCATCCACGGCCCTCCCTCTCGCCGCCGCCACTTCCCCCTCCCTGACGCTTCGCCGCAGCGAAAGGCGGAGAGAGCGGCGCGCGCGCGGGAGAGAGAGAGAGAGAGAGAGAGAGAGAGAGAGCCGAGAGGAGCAAGCGAGAATGTCGCCGATGCTGGCGACGCTGCCGGACGTCACGGCCGTCCTCCACTCCCCGTCGGCCTCGCCGCCGTCCGGCCTCCGCGCGCCGGCGGCTGTGGGGATGGGGATGGCGAGGACGCGCTTTCTCGCTCCGCGGGCGGCGGCTTCGGCGGCCTCCGCCGTCTCCGCGAAGCCGGCGGCGGTGGCGCCGCTGTACGCGGACCGCACGGTCGTCCGTATCGGGCTCCCCAGCAAGGGCCGCATGTCCGAGCAAACCCTAAGCCTCCTTAAGGTCTCGCACATCGTCTCCGTTCCTGCTTCCATCTATCGAATTCTGTATTTACGTGGTGATTTTGTTGACTTTGTGTTGTTATTATGCTGTTCATGCCTCGTGGTGCAGAGTTGCCAATTGTCAGTCAGGCACCTCAACCCGCGGCAGTACACCGCAGATATCCCGCAGGTGAGGTTTCCATCTCCATTCATTGTCTTCTATCAGTTCGTCATTTCTGTACTGGAAATTGGCCTACTATCGAATTAGTAGGCCACTTAGGCTCTCTGATTCATTGATAAGTATACGTATGGGCTAGTCCATTTTCAAAGCATTGCAGTTTACCATTTCCTGTATATGCACTATTGTTAGTATGAATGCCCTTTTGATGGTTGAATAAATACGCAATAGCAATTCCAAACTAAGGCCCGGTTTAGTTCCAAAGTTTGAACCCCAAAAACGTCACATTGAACTTTTCTACACACACAAATTTCCAACTTTTCCGTCACATCGTTCCAATTTCAATCAAACCTCCAATTTTAGCGTGGAACTATACACACCCTAAAGTTACTTTATCCCTTCGACAGTATGAGTGAAATACTGCCATCTTATACAATATTATATTTTTAGTTTATTTCTTCCCTTCAACAATTCGAATTTTGTCTGAACTTCTGGTGCACTGATGGATGAAGCAACAGAAAATTTGTCCCTTAAAATGATTCAAGCATCCTTGTCAATTTAATACCCCATCGATCACATTGTGTGTTCACAATACAAGGAGATGTCCTTTTAGAAACAGTAGTCATTTTTAATGAAACCTAGCATAGTTATTGTACCTTTTCCACACTTGCATATGGTTTTAAAGTTTGGAGAGATTTTAGTTAATTTATTTCATTTAATATGGGTAGCATTAGCAGCTTTACCTTCCTATGACTTTGTCCCTGCATGATCTGCAGCTATTTGTGGAAATGTGGCTGCCTGTTTAGAAAATTAGTATTGGAATATAACGGTGTAGGAGATAGCTAAGGTAAAAAGTCGCAGTGCTATTTAAATCACATGTTTTGATTTTTTTCTTTCCTTTATGCAGGTCCCAAACTTGGAGGTTTGGTTTCAGAGGCCCAAAGATATTGTCCGCAAACTACAATCTGGGGATCTTGACCTTGGCATTGTTGGTTTTGACATAGTCAGTGAATATGGGCAGGTATATTTTGGGAATTAATGCTCAATGTTTTAGCTCGGGTTGTGCATGTTAGAATTTCAATGGTTACTCTCATTGAGAAGAGGATGGCACTCGAGATGGGGCAATTTTCTGGTTTTCTTCATTCACTAAACACAAAAGCCATATCCTCCCAAAGAGGATTGGATACATATTTATAGCTGCTTGTAGCAGCCATGCAGCCATGCTAGTCTAAGAGGGTGCTGTCAGCATCCCAACAAACTGTCCTAGAGCAGAGCATCCCAACAAACTGTCCTAGAGCATCTCAACAAACTGCTGTCCTAACTGTCCTAGAGCATCCAAACTGAAAGTAGAGATGCTGTCCTAGAAAGCTGAAAAACAGGAAAAAGGCACCACAAGACCAAGACCAACCAGCCAAGACTTATTCCTACATTCTCCCCCTAAGTCTTGTGCGCTGTCTTGTGGGAGAGTTGAGCCATCCCGATCCGGGAGCAAAGCTCAAGGAACTTGATCCTCCTAAGGGGTTTGGTGAGCAAATCCGCAAGCTGGTCCTTGGTGTTGATGTAGCTCGCCTTGATGCTCCCTTCCTCCAAGTAGCTTCGGATGAAATGATACCTCACTCGGATGTGCTTGCTCCGTTCGTGAAAAACGGGGTTTTTTGCCAGGGCCAGAGCGGACTTGCTATCCACCCTGAGCTCCACCGCTCCAGTATCTCTGCCGAGGAGATCACTAAGCAGTCGAGCAAGCCAGAGCGCCTGGGTCGAAGCGGCGGATGCCGCCATGTACTCGGCCTCGCAGCTGGACAGGGCCACCACCTGCTGCTTGATTGACTGCCAGCTAACGAGGCACTCGCCGAGGAAGAAGAGAATCCCGCTCGTGCTCTTGCTGGTGTCGATGTCGCCGGCGTGGTCGCTGTCGCTGTACCCGACGAAGTGTGCCTTGCCAGGACACCTCGGGTAGTAGAGACCGTGGTCGAGAGTCCCCGCAACGTAGCGGATGATCCTCTTCACAGCCTGCTGGTGCTCCGTCGTCGGTCACTGCATGAACCGACTGACGTAGCCGACGGAGAAGGCCAAGTCCGGCCGTGTGTGGGTGAGGTAGCGAAGGCTCCCCACAAGACGTCGGTACTGTGTAGCATCCACCTCCTCCGCTGTGCTGTCGCGGCTCAGCTTCAGTCTCTCCTCCATCGGAGTGAGAGCTGGGTTGCAATCGGTGAGCCCAGCCAGCTCAACGACGCGCTTGGCGTAGGCGGTCTGTCGAAGCGTGATCCCGGAGTTGTCCTGGTGCACTTCGATCCCCAGGTAGAAGGAGAGAGGCCCCAGATCACTCATCTGGAAGGTGGCCTTCATCTCCTCCTTGAACGCCGCGACCTCTGCATCCTTGGTGCCGGTGATCACTAAGTCGTCGACGTAGACACCCACCAGCAAGGCATTTCCTCCATTGCCCCGCCGGTAGATGGCCGCCTCGTGCGGGCTTTGCTCGAAGCCCATCCCCTTGAGCGTGGAATCCAACTTGGCATTCCACGCCCTCGGTGCCTGCCGCAAGCCGTAGAGGGCCTTGTGCAGGCGTAGCACCTTGCCCTCCTTGCCGGGGATCACAAATCCCGGCGGCTGGTGCACGTAGACCTCCTCCTTCAAGTCGCCGTTTAGAAACGCCGACTTGACGTCCATGTGATGGACGCCCCAGCCTTCCTGAGCAGCCAGCGCAAGGAGTCGCACGGACTCCATCCGTGCCACGGGAGCGAAGGCATCGTCGTAGTCGATCCCCTCCTGCTGCACGAAACCGCGTGCCACCAAGCGAGCCTTGTGCTTGACGATGGCTCCGGCTTCATCCCTCTTCAGCTTGAACACCCACTTAAGGGTGATCGCGCGGTGACCACGAGGGAGGTCAGCAAGCTCCCAGGTGCGGTTCTCCTGAACCGCGTCCATCTCCGACTGCATCGCGGCACGCCATGCCGCGTGTTTCTCGGCCTCTGCAAAAGACCGAGGCTCACCGTCGTCGCACGCAAGGTGCAACTGCGCCTCCAGGTTGCGAGGCACCAGTCCCGGCACCGGCTGGTCGCCGAGAAGATCCTCCATCGTACGGTACCGTAGCTGCTCGCCGTCATGGTACGCGTCGATGCGCTCCCCGTCGTGGGAGAGCGGAGTAACGAACTCCACCGGGCTGCGCTCAACACGAGCTGGCGTCGGAGTAGACGTGCCCGGAGGAGTGGCTGTTGGTGCTGGAGCGTGTGGGGACACCGGCTGGGGTGGTGTCGACGAAGAGCTCGTCGTAGTCGAAGTCGTGGCCCGAGGGTGTGTTGGTGTTGGAGTCGGTGGAGGCTCGGGGACTGGGGTAGACACGCTCGGTGAAGAAGAGCTGCCTACTCCCCCAGCTCCCTCGAAGTGGACGTACTCGATGGTGAAGTCGTCGTACGTCGGAGTCGAACCATCATCCACCGCCTTGTCCCATACCCACCCTCGCCCTTCGTCGAACACAACATCGCGCGTAATGCGCACACGCTGTGTCTCCGGGTCGAGGATGCGGTAGGCCTTCGAGCCCTCCGCGTAGCCGATGAACACCCCTGGGGTGCTCCTGTCGTCGAGCTTGCCGATGTGGCCAAGCTCCTTGGCGAACGCGAGGCAGCCGAAGACCCGCAGGTGGGAGACCGCCGGCTTGCGCCCATGCCAAGCCTCGTACGGTGTCCTGCCATCGAGGGCCTTGGTAGGCGAGCGGTTGAGGATGTAGGCGGCCGTCACCACCGCCTCCCCCCAGAAGATGGCCGGCATCCCCCTCTGCTTGAGGAGGGCCCGAGCCATCCCCACAACCGTCTGGTTGCGCCGCTCGACGACGCCGTTCTGCTGTGGGCTGTACGGCGCGGTGTAGTGGCGCTGAATGCCCTCATCAGCGCAGTACGACGCGAATTCAGCCGCCGTGAATTCGCCGCCGTTGTCGGTGCGCAGCACGCGCAGCTTGCGGCCGCACTCCGCCTCTGCTGCAGCCTGCGCATGCCTGATGGCGTCCGCAGCCTCTCCCTTGCTGCCGAGGACCATCACCCACATGTAGCGGGAGAGGTCGTCGACGAGCAGCAGGAAATAACGTCGTCCTCCTGGTGTGGCCGGTGTCACTGGGCCACACAAGTCCCCGTGCACGAGCCCGAGCCGCTCCTTGGCTCGGAAGCTCGTCTGCTGGGGAAAGGGGAGCCGCCGCTGCTTTGTCACCACGCAGACGTCGCAGAGCTGCTCCACGTGGTCAAGGCACGGCATGCCTCGCACCATCTCCTTGGCACTGAGCTGCTTCAGGGCCTCAAAGTGGAGGTGCCCGAAGCGCTCGTGCCACTGCCACGCCTCGTCGTCCCGACGAGCGGCGAGGCAAACTGGATGTGCGACTTGCGCGCTGAGGATGTAGAGTCGATTAGTGCCTCTGGTTACCTTGGCAAGAAGGCGACGACGGCGATCCCAAATCCTCATGAGTCCGTCCTCGACCAACACGCGTGAGCCGTTCTCATCCAGCTGTCCCACACTGATGATAGAATTCCTCAACGCGGGGATGTAGTAGACTCCGGTGAGCAGCCTGTGCTCACCGGACTTGGCGGTGAAGGTGACGGAGCCAACACCCTTGATCTCCACGCCGGAGGCGTCCCCGAACTTGACGGTGCCTCGGACGCTGGAGTCGAACTCGGTGAAGAACTCCCGTCGGCCGGTCATGTGATGGGTGGCGCCGGTGTCGAGGTACCACCCATCAGCCTTGTCGTTGCTGGAGCCGTCGCAGAGGGAGACGAGTACCTTCGGCTCATCAAGGTGGAGGAAAGCCGCTGCGGCCGGTGCCGCTGGAGGTAGCTCGATGCTTGCGTGAGCTAGGAGCAGAGCCGGCTCTTCCTCCTCCACCCGTGCGACGTGGGCCTGGCCGCGTCGTGGCTGTCGACAGTCTTTGGCCCAATGGCCAAGCTTGCCACAGTTGCGGCAGGTGTCGTCTCGTGCCGGCTTGTGGTTGCCGGTGGCAACGCCCTGGGCGCCTCTGCGGGCGCCACCCTCGGCACGTCTTCGCGCCCACCGTAGCTGGACACCTCCCCGCGCCTTGCGCGGCTTACGGCCGCCTGTCGGGGAAGATGACTCCCCCTTCCTCCCGTCACCCTGAGAGGCCTCCCACTGCTCCCGAGTGAGATGGAGCTTCCCGCCGATGGTGATGGGCCCCGAGAGAGGCCGTGGCTCATCACCATCGACGACCTTGAGGCGACCTAACGCCTCCTCGATCGACATCGTGGAGAGGTCCAGCAGAGATTCAATCGAGCGAGCGATCTGCCTGTACTTCTCAGGGACGCAGCGGAAGAGCTTCTCGACAGCTCTCTCCTCGTCGTAGGTGTCGTCGCCGTACTGCACCATTTTTTGCAAGAGAGTGTTGAGACGGAGAGCAAAGTCATCAACATCCTCACCTGGCTTGAAGGCCAGGTTCTCCCACTCCTTGCGGAGTGCCTGCAGTGTGGACTTGCGGGCGCGGTCGCTGCCGATGCGTGCCGCAGCGATGGCGTCCCAGGCCTCCTTGGCAGTCCGCTTCTGGGAAAGCGAGAACTGCATCTCGGGCGGAACTGCAGCGATGAGGGCATCCAGTGCCCGCCGATCCTCGTCGTAGTCGACGTCACCGTACCGGACTGCCTCCCACATGTGCCGCACCTGGAGCCTCACCCTCATCACCGCGGCCCACTCGATGTAGTTGGTTTTGGTGAGGGTAGGCCACCCACCGCCGGGACCAAAATCCCTGACCACCGTCTGGACGCCGTGGTGACCATGGCGCCGGTCAGGGGAGAGGGAGCCGTGCCGCCTGCGAGGGCCGCGTGCGGGCTCCGGGCTGCCGCCGGCACGCCCGCGCCCGTCTGGGTTCCCGTCGGCGGGCGCGCGGTCCCTTGGGCCGCCGCCGCCGCCGTGGAGGTGGGCTGCTGCCCACCGCTCTGCTCGCTCCCGTGCCCTTCCTCTTGCCAGCTCCTCAAGCTCCCTGTCAGCGGTGATGTCGCCGGCGATGGAGCCGTTGATGCTGCTGCGCAAGGTCTCAACCTCTACCTCCGCCGCACGTGCCGCATCTTCCGCCGCCTCCGCCTCCGCCTCCGCCCTGGCTGCTGCCAACTCCGCTGCCGCCAGTCTGGCCGCCTTCGCTGCTGCTGCAGCGGTCTGAGCCGTTGCTCGCCTGCGCTCTTCTGCTGCGGCGAGCTTGGCGTCCTGCTGACGCCGAGTGCTCGAGGCGACCGAACGCTGAGACCGAGCGTCGGACATGGCGCACCTCCGGGGGGCTGCTGTGTGGAGAGGGGGAAGGGAAAGGGGAAGGAGGAGCAACCGGTGCTGCTGCTGCTGCTGGCTGAGAGCTCAACCGAGCTTGGGAAGGGGTGGAACAAGAGATGTTTAGCCTACAGGAAAGTGTGGCTCTGATACCAGATGTTAGAATTTCAATGGTTACTCTCATTGAGAAGAGGATGGCACTCGAGATGGGGCAATTTTCTGGTTTTCTTCATTCACTAAACACAAAAGCCATATCCTCCCAAAGAGGATTGGATACATATTTATAGCTGCTTGTAGCAGCCATGCAGCCATGCTAGTCTAAGAGGGTGCTGTCAGCATCCCAACAAACTGTCCTAGAGCAGAGCATCCCAACAAACTGTCCTAGAGCATCTCAACAAACTGCTGTCCTAACTGTCCTAGAGCATCCAAACTGAAAGTAGAGATGCTGTCCTAGAAAGCTGAAAAACAGGAAAAAGGCACCACAAGACCAAGACCAACCAGCCAAGACTTATTCCTACAGTGCATACCGCATACCTCTAGTTTCATACTAAGTTTCTTCTATACTTATTTATAGCATACATAATGTTCTTAATTTAATATTTATTTGACTTTCTTAGCAAGGCTTTAATAGATTTATACTTGTACTTATCTGAGATTTCCTGTGGCAGGGTAGTGATGATTTAGTAGTTGTTCATGATGCTCTCGAGTTTGGACATTGTCGTTTGTCCCTTGCGGTATGGTGTTCTAGAATTGCATCCATGCGTACTAGTTGTTACTTGGTTGAAGTTTGTATCTGTCTGAAACTGTCAAATTGCATGATCAGGTTCCTAAGGAAGGCATTTTCGAGAATATAAATACTCTGGAGGATTTGGCAAATATGCCTGAATGGACACAAGAGAGACCATTGCGTGTTGTTACAGGATTTGGATATGTATGGTCGTGAATAAACTCAAAGTTGTTCAAGTGCTCCCCCCCTCTTGGACATTAATTTGCTGTTCATTTACCTAGTTATTTTATTGTATTGCAGCTAGGAGAAAAGTTTATGAGAGAAAATGGTTTCAATCATGTTTCGTTTTTAGCTGGAGATGGAGCTCTTGAATCATATCCCGCTGTGAGATTGCACTTCTCTAATAACTTACTTAGGTTTCTTTGTAACTTAAACTTCCTTTCTTTTTTGTACTTCTTTGTTTATCTAGTTGATATATTGATGGCACAATTCTGTTCCTCCATAATAGTTATATTTAGATCCTAGTAAAACCAAATTTGCATATTTCTGTCCCAATATTTCAGCTTACAAGATTGGTATTTGCATGGTATTGTCTGTACCGCTGTAGTATTGTTTGTTATTTCTATTTTATTATGATGTTAGTATGTTACAAAGCTGCATGGAATTTAAGTATACCAATACCATACTTTACTGTAATTTGAATTTGAATTGTAATAGATCTGAACTGAAATTTGTCTTTACTTCTTTATTCTATATTGGCATGTTTGTCTTGATTCTTGATATGTGAACTTGTGTGTTCTTACATAATACACAATTAGCCTATCAAGGTTAACAAATGCTAAGAATTCTTTTTTCCTCCTGTGAAGATGGGTATGGCTGATGTTATCGTGGATCTTGTGAGTAGTGGAACAACCTTACGTGAGAATAATTTGAAGGAAATTGATGGTGGAGTAGTTTTGGAAAGCCAGGTAAGCCTAACCTCTCCCTCCCTTCCTCTCACGCGTGCACACATGCATGTGGGAGAGCAGATGCCTGGTATTTTAATTGACATTTGCTTCATCAAAAGATAAATTGTGCTCATTTACAAGATATGTAATATCACGCAGGCCACGCTTGTCGCATGTAGGAGATCGCTACACAAACGTAATGGTGTCTTGGAGATTACGCATGAGATGCTTGAAAGATTAGAGGCTCACCTCACAGCAACTGGGGAGATAATGGTAAACCAATTTTGTAGCTTAAATTGGGTGATTACTCAATTAATTGCTTACTTATTATACTTTACATTGCCATATAAGGTCACAGCAAACATGAGGGGGAACAGTGCGGAAGAAGTGGCGGAAAGAGTTCTCAGCCAAACATCGTTATGTGGATTACAGGTATCACTAAAAGTATCCAAAGTAGTATTTTACCTTTTTATATACTGACCATGAATATGTGCACTTATGTGGCAGATGCTAAAATATCTCTTTAAAAATAATATTATTTTCCACATTCATAAATTAGCACTCTATAATCTTGAACTGGAAATATAATTGTATTGTAGCTGCTCTAATATCTAGACCTGATTAATCTTCATCATAATCTGGGCAATTTAAAGCTTTTAGGTCCTTTGAAATAAAACTAGTTTTGCATTTCAAACTTATAGCAAAAGCTTTGCTCATGATTATCTGACTGGAACCACTGTAGTTTGAAATACTGATGTGGAAAATCACTAAAGCTTATGAGTTGATTCACTCATTTTGATTTAAACAGGGCCCAACCATAAGTCCAGTCTACCGCTCACGTGATGGGAAGGTTGCTGTGGAATATTATGCGATTAATGTAGTAGTTCCACAGAAGTCTCTTTACAAGTCCATTCAACAGCTGAGATCTGTAAGATATTTTACCTCAATACTTTTAAACGGAAATGTGTGCCTATCTCCCCTTATTCTCCCTTTTCCTTTTCTGTTTCATGTGGGCAATTGTCTCTTATCTTTAGAAATTTTCTAATGTTGTAGTAAAAGGTATATTTATGTGCTTATATGAGTAATTATCAAAAGATGTTTCTGTGCTATTCTCACTGCTGTCAGCGCAAAAGATAAATCTGATATGGGAGCTCATAATAGAACTTATTGTCAGAACATATATGGCCCTTGCTATATATTTTTTGAACGTGTATGGCTTAGTTCCATTGATAAATCCAATTGTTTTAATGTGTACTCATTAACTTGTAACTGCAGATTGGTGGCAGTGGAGTCTTGGTGACAAAGCTGACCTACATATTTGATGAGGAAACTCCTAGATGGCGCAAACTACTTTCGGAGCTGGGGTTGTGACTTGGTGTGAAGTCTGCCATACTTCTCTGTCAATGACCCTTTTAGCATCGGTTTACTTATGCTCGCTGAAGTATACTACAACCATAATCAGAAATGAGCTCTCGTTTGAAGTGTCTGCGGTGCTTATTTGAGAGGAAATTTTGGTCTGTGCCATCGTACATTGTGCTCGTCTAGTTATACCTTTGACAAGCATATGGGTTGAAATACCCTTTATGTACCTGTTGATATAATTGTGAGACCTTATTGCCTTGTTGGATAGGTGTGCGTATGAATTGTACCTTTTCTTGCGTGACGCTGAATAAATTGGGCTTTCTGCAATAAAGATGGATGGTGTAATTCCACCCCGTAGCAAATCTGTCCGCCTCCTATGATGCAAGGCTCCTGCTATCTTTATCCTTTTGGGGTTGACCCGGGGTTACTATGGAAGAGTTTGACACCAAATTTGCTCTTGGTGCTGGATCTGGGATGATAAGGGAATTCCAAATTACCAATTCTAATTTTTCTTGTCAAGTTCCTTTCCTCCTTTCTTTTTACTTGTCTTGAATATTGCCAGTATTTACAGACACATCTGTACATTTGCTTTGCACGGCAATTTTCATGGTCAAATTGATAGAGCAGAGACAGAACACCTACCATATACATGATGATATTGCTTTCAGAATTTAAGTTCCATGAAAAAGTAATCCAATATGAGATGGCGACCCTTTGCACGTGCAGGTATAGTGTAGACATGACAAACAGTTTACATAATACTGCACACATATTATCTTTGATAGATTTTTGCATATTTTTACACAATTGGAAGCCTTATACTCACTCAGTCACTGATGGCGCACACACAATAAAAACTGTTTAAAAACTGAACCAAATTCAGAGCAGAGCTGGTGCACATTTTCTCCCAGCTGCTTATTTACTATCGGCAAGCACGAGGGTCACGGCTACAAACTACACGATCAAGTCATGGTGCATCACGCCTTTAGCTGCAGACGTGCAGAGCCTCACACATTTCGCCGTGCGCTTACCCGGACCTCGAGCGGCACTGCCATCTCGCACGACAGGCGGAGCACCTCCGACAAGTCGACGGCGCCGGACGCCGGCGTCCACTCGAACTCGTGCAGCAGCGTTGCCATCCAGGCGGTCACGGTCGTCATGGCCAGTGACTTGCCGGGGCAGCTCCTCCTGCCGGACCCGAACGGCACGAGGCGGCCGTCGGCGCCGAGCACGGACACGCCGTGCGCCTTGCCGCCGGGGAGGAACCGCTCCGGCTGGAACTCGAGCGGCGCGTCCCACACGTCGGCGTCGCGGCTCATCGCCCACTGGTTCACCATGGCGGTGGTGCCGGCCGGGACGAGGTGGCCGTCGACGTAGGTGTCGGATATGGCCCTGTGGCGCCACGAGAGGAGCGGGCCCGGCGGGTGCATCCGGAGAGCCTCCTTGAGCAGCGCCTGCAGGTAAGGCAGCGACGGCACGGCGGACTCGGCGACCGTGTTGCTCCGCCCGACCACCGCGTCGAGCTCACGGTGCACGTTGGCTTGGACGTCGGGGTGGAGGACGACGCGAGCTAGTGTCCACTCCATCAGCACGGCCATGGCGTCAGTTCCTCGAAAGATCATCTCCTGATAATTTAATGTAACCACGGTTTTATTATTTACTCATTTGGTTATGTAATACGTACGTCAGGGAGTAACTGCTACCATCCGTTTGTATGATTCTTTCTACATATAAAATCTGAAAGAAATAGGGAAAAAGTTGGTGGAATTTTGCATGGGGGTAGCTTTTTCTAAAAAAAGGTTTTATTTTGTTTTTCAGATTTGATCACAACAAAAGTTAGTTTTGCATGATGTGTTTACACCTCTTTTATAGAACTGTTTGATGCCATATTAATCCAAGCACGCCAAAATATCAAAGCACACGGATCGTACCCAAAGCACGGCGGCGATGTCGGCGTCGGCGAGCCCCTCGCTCTCCTGCAGCGAGAGCAATATGTCGACGAAGTCACGTGCCTCTCCTCCGGCGATCGCCTTGCCACGGTGCTCCTGGATGATGCCTCGCACGAAGCGGTTCACCCGTGGCATGAGCTCGGCGCACCGTGCTCCGACGCCCTGCGGGTCAACGGCGGCGAGCCCCGGGAAGTAGTCGCACCAGTTCTCCTTCCCGAGGAGGTCGTACCCTTCGTGCACCATCTCGAGCAGCTCCTCCACCTCCTCCCCGGACTCCGGCGCGCCGCGCGACACGTCGTACTCCTTGCCGAACACGAACCGCATGATGTAGTAGAGCGACGCGCGCCGGAGGACGCCGCGCACCTGCACCGCGGCCTCCCCGCCCGCGCCGCGCAGCGCGGCGACCACGCCCCCCGCGACGCGCGCGCGGTACGGGGCGAACGCGTCCACCTGCCTCGGGCCGAACAGGTGGCCCGCGGCGACGCGCCGGAGCGCGCGCCAGTACGGGCCGTGCTCCGCGAAGCCGATGGAGCGGTGGAACATGAGGCCGTACGCGGCGTGGTTGAGCGGCCGGTCGGCGAACGCCGGGTTGTCGAGGATCTCCTTGGCCACGTCCGGGTGCGACGTGACGACCGCGCGTACCGGGCCGAGCGACAGCGCCATGAGCCTCTTGGCACCCGGCCGGCGCGCCGCCTCGGCGGCCAGCGAGCAGTGCGCCAGCCCGGACATGAGGCCGAGGCTTCCGACGACCGGGAGCCCTTTCGGCCCTGGGATCGAACACCTCGGGCTCTGCCCCCTCGCCCTCCGGTACTTGCCCCATGCAGGGCCACCCGGGTGAGCCCAGTAGAGCAGAGCAGTGCCTGCCCATGCAAGGCATGCAAAGATCGCGAGGTAGACGAAGCTCGTGGCCATGGCTGACAGTGTGGCAGCGCTCTCATTTTGCCCTGAGATGGGCGGGAGGAAGGTCAGTGGCAGCACCCACCAGTTCTCAGCTGCTGAGCTCTCCATTTGCAATATTGCACTGTGCTGCTGCTGTGAAGTTCTGTGTGCTCTGAGCTGCAGCTCGGGGAGCTGTATTTATAGGAGTTTTGGAGCGAACATTCCGTCATTCCTCCTCCGGTGTCTCCTGGCAAAGATGATTCAGTTACAATCATTGGCAATAAAGAAGACTTTGCAGTGCACCGTTGAGTATAGTCCAGTACAGTGGTCCTGGTTCCTCTGTTTTTCCATTCAGGTGATCACTGACCAGGTAGTTCAGTTTAGAGAAAATAATCAAACCAGCCTAGCTAGTGTATGTAAACTGCATGGAAATCGAGGAGAAATTGGTCTCAGTATCTGCTAAGTGAAAGGTTCAACGAGCGGTATACGGTACAACTCCTGTGTTGTACTACTACTTGGTCTCCAACTTTTATTCTGTCGCAATCCTAACTGGCCACACGTACGTTCTTCAGATTAGTCTAGCTTCAATTCGCGACACCTGTACTCCTGCTAACCATACATTTTTGGCAAGTCCTAAATTATGAGAAGCCTGGGGTACCAACAAACCATAGCCCAATAAGTCTGCAATTGCAGCTTACGTGTTGCTGATATATAGATCTCACTATATTGTGGGTGTAGAGTCGTTGAGAGAGCGTTGCGGCTGCTTGTTTTCTCGACAGAGTTTGTTTTCACATGCTTTGTTTAGGGCGTCATGAGGACATTCACGCAAGACGCAACGACTGCGCATGCAGGTGCTAACTAAAATTTTATATTGTGCATCAGTTGGTGTGGAACACAATAGGAGTTAGTTAGGCCCCTTTCATGTTACACATGCATGCTTGCTTGGTTTTTATGCTTTATGCATGAACTGTCCTACACTAGGATCAGTCAGCGGTAGCGCATGTACCTGTCAGAGTAGTTAATTATACACTAACTATAGTACCATTATTGGATGGACCAAAAGATTAATTACACTGACTTGCTTAGCCTCGTCATTAGCAGTACGTATGTGGGAGTAATTTCGTCACCCCGCAAAATCTTCTATGATAATGTCCCCATCCCTGCAGGCAGGGATATGTACAAGTACAACTGGCCAAACTTTATGTATGCACATGTACGTATAGTATCACCTGTGCAATGTGTGAGCAGTTGCGCAGGAACTTATCAGGAACACGAGAGCAAAAACAAATGAAATTAATGCATTCTCTCCTTATGAAAATATAACAACTTCTCGCTTTTAAAATTTGTCCTAAAATATAACAATTTCTTCACCAACATTCTCTTTTTAATCAATCACAATTCCCCACCATTCAATTTTCCCACCTAACTTCACTTCTCCTCCAACCGCAACACTCGATCTCCTATTTAATCCTACCAACTTTCTTAATATCTGTATCTAACTCTAAAAGTACTTATATTCTAAGACGGATGGAGTTCAAATTAAGACTGTTTTAAATCATTCAACACAATCGGAAGGTAATTCAGCTATAAGTTTACCAAAACACAATTGGGCGGGCGGAATCTAAAGTGGATTGAGTACGTGGTTAGTTCCGCAAATCGTCTGCGCCCATTGTTTCATCGAACCAAATAACTTCGTTTCGTGCCGTTTAGGTGTTTAGCTGCTGCAGTTCTACATGCATAAACAGCGGATCCACTTAAAAAAAAAAATCCAAAACACCGAACTGAACCTAGTACAATTAGGATTGAAATACTCTGACTAAAATGTGAACCCTCTACCGAGCAGAACCACATATCAATGACTTTGTCTTAAGGAAGTACTCCCTTCATTTTTTTAATAAATAAAGCCGCTGACTTTTAAACATATCTTTAACTATTCGTCTTATTTAAAAATTTATATTAGATATAAATCAATAAAAGTGATAAAACAATTTACAACAAAAATAACTTATAATTACGTAAAATTTTTAAATAAGATGAATGATTAAATGTGTGATATATATAAAAAATCAACACGTCATCTATTAAAAACATGTAGTAAGTCAGTACACCACATGTCCTACTGTCTTGCATTGGATCCGCCACTATATACTGGAACGCACGCGCACGGCGCACAACCACCTGAGAGCAAGGATACTAGTATAGCTCACTTACTATCTATAGGCTCTCTCCAAGAGATCTATGTCAACATATTTTCCTACTTGGAAGAGATTAAATGAAGAGAGAGATAAAAGCTATCTATTAACCTGGAGATAGTTTATAGAGAAAAACGAGGCAATGGATTAGAGAGCTATAGATACCCATGTATATATACCATTTAAGTGGTTTCCTATTAATCTAGTCTATTGCTGAGATGTACATGTTTTATAGATAGCACCTTATTTTACTATTGTGGGTGCTCTTAGCTTATCTTAAAGCTAACATATATATAATAGATTAGATATAAGTTTGGCTATAATTTTCTTCTCCTCTCTCTA